CCCAAAAAACATTAACACCTGCTTGTTTTGTGATCATTCCTTAATGCTGTTTCTGGGGGGAACAGAGGAACCTGACTGCAGTAAGAGACAATTCAATTTTTGTACAGATGTGGTAGGGGATAGAACAGTAATTCAACAGAGTTATACGACATGCCACTGTTACCTCCCTGGACACTCATTAAACTTGCACAGATTCTTCTTATTTTCGAGTTGATCAGCTGCAAAATAAAGGCAGATCTCCAGTGGACTGTCTATGAAATCCATAGACATTTGTAAGGAATAAAACTGGTGGCAGCTATACTGTTTTCCCAGTTAACCAGAGGAGGAGGAGGAGGAGGAGGAGGAGGAGGAGGAGGAGGAAGAGGAGGAGGAGGAGGAGGAGGAGGACAGAGGCTAGAAACAGTGATGAAGGAGTGACGAAGGTGATGAAGGAGTAAATTCATCAATGGTCTTATATGCTGATATTCATTGTGGCCATCAAGGCAGAACTTGCATATAAATTCCAGATGTGTTTACCAGCTGAAAAGTTGGGTATACTGCAATCAATATAGGAATTCTCTCTGTCAGAGGGAGAATGTCTGTCATTCTTTCTCTGCAGATATTATGTAATAGATGATATTTGTTACACTGGCACATCCCCTGGTTTCCATGTATTTTGAATTCCATCCCTAGAAGTTTTGATTGCATGGAACTCTATATCTGAAGATGTCCAGGGCTAGAATTTACAAACACGAACCTGCTGATATTTTCTCTGTGTAGGAAAGCTTCAAATTGAGAAGGAAGGTCGTCTCTTAGAGCATGATGGTGGAAGCTGATAGGGCATTTGGCAAGCTGGCACACTGTTCTCTTCACATTCTCTGGCACTGTGGTTTCACTTCCCTAACACATAACTAACTCAGTCTTGACGGATTGTAGATCCAATCCCAATTTTGAAGAAACTGCTTTCTTCTTTTGTAGATGCTTGTCTCCCTCCTGAGTGTCAAGGATACCCAGTTCCATATTAATTGTGCACTGGGAAGTTTGGCTCATTTAAAATTAAAAAGAGGACATCTGCCAGGATAGCCAGTTTGATATAGTAGTTAATGCCCAGGCTAAAACCCAGGAAACTGTGAATTCAGGAAGGTATGTTTGCCTCCTGGAGTTATACAAAAGTATAAAGGCGGCATAATAATAAATAAATAAATTAAATGAATAAATAAAATAGCCTGAAGTTTGATAGAGTGTACAGAGGGTGGCCAATCTGTATGACAGAGAGCACCACCTTAGAAAGAATGAAGATTTGCTGCTATTATTGTACTTAGTCAATATTTCTTCCAATTAAGCCAGCATTCTTTCATTATTGTGGAAATAAGAGGTAGGAGTCCAGATGCAGCATCTTTCTGCTTCTATTCATTAAAAATAAATCTGAAACTCTAAAGCAGGCCCCCAGTATAATTGTACAAAGCTCCAAACCACGCTGGGAAACGTGCCTGCTTTTTCTTGTGAAAATAAAGCTAATAGAGGACATATCAAAAAGCTGCCAGGATGGAGAGAATCACACATGTTGTGTGTATTTGTAATAATCTATAAATAGACTTTTAATTTTTTAATTTTTTAAAAAATCAAGAACAATCTATTGGAGAAGGTGCTACTGAGCAGAAAGCAGCACCCCGCAGAGCCTATCAGTAATACTTGTCCTAGCTTTTTCTTGAAGCAATGATATGGCAACAGCTACTATATTGCTGTTATCTGTTTCTGCCTCAGAGATGTATACAGGAAGACACTCATCATACTTTTTGGATAATTCTCTGCAAACCAGGATTTAACTCCTATATTTAAATAACTCCTGATAGATACCATGGATTGCTGGTATCAATTTGAATTCACCTCTCTTTTGTTTTAAACCAAAGTGGCAAATTGAAGGATTACCAAGCAATTTCTTCAATTATTTTGTCTATGAGGACTTCCATCATAGGAGGTGCAGGTCCAATTGGGCATCATCAATCAGAACCTCTCCACTGATCATACTAAGCTGTTCCATGGTTTCAAATCATGAACAATGGTGCTGAAGCATCAGCATTTTTGCTACAGCATCTGTCATAAGGTGGTTAGATTTGTTACTGAGAAGAATGCCTGCTTGTCCCACTTCTCAGTTCCTGGTTTCTTGATGTGATAGCTGGATGGTGTGATTATATAAAGGAAGTATGGAAGGCATGACAGCGAAAGTCATGTTTGGAAGGCAAGTTTCGCCTCCATGATGAGTACAAGGTTGTAATATATTCTGTTTTTCTTTTTCCACAGGAGGGGGAGGGACTTGTTTGGCAGCCTGATTTGAAGGGGCAAAAAGAGGTTTACCCTAATGCAAGCAGTGATTGGCTAAAGGTTTTCAGAGCTTTGCTATTGGTCAGGAAGTGCAAGTACTCATTGGCTGTTACCGTGTTTCCCCGAAAATAAGACCCTGTTTTATATTTTTTTGAACCCCAAAATAAGTGCTTGGCCTTATTTTTGGGGAGGTCTTATTATTTTGGGGCGTGTGGAGCAAGACGGGCTTCTCTTGCCATCTTACCTGATTTCCAGCTCTGCCTCCCTAATCCTAAGGAGAGGAAATCGTGGGGACTGGCTGTGCATGCGTTTAAATATTTTCAGGGAGGGCTTATTTTTGGGGAGGGCTTATTTTCGGGAGGGGCTTATTTTAGCACATGCGCTCAAAAGCCCAATTGGGCTTATTATCAGGGGATGTCTTATTTTTGGGGAAACAGGGTAGTTCTCAATGAATGTTATGGATTCACAAACAAGTAAATATGCGTGCTTGAATTGGAATATTTTTTTTCAGATCTAGAAATAGTCACAACTGACCAATCTCTGCTATATTTTCATTATGGATTTGTATAAGACAAATGAAAGAAATACTAGAATTTCCCTAAAATATAAAGTTCCAGACATTTTTCTCATTTCCATTTTATATATGGTTTATTCTTTAATTTTTAATTCAGACCACATAGTTTGTAAAATGTATAACACTGGAAAGATTAACATCTGTATCTTCTCCTTTTCAGTATTATATTAGTTACAATACACCCATGAACACACATAATCGCACACATACATATTCCCATATCACACACACAGAGGTTGTTTTCTTGTTTAACTCTAACAAATTCTCACTCAGTCCCCAAATAAATTAATGTAGTAGGATAAAAAGATTTGAGGTGGCAATCTGATGGCACCAGTTTCTTGGGTTGTGAAGTCTCCAAGTTCAATTTTTGCTAAAAGAAATGTAATGAATGGGCAAATAGAATAGCATTTTTTAAAAAAGTGTATGGCTTTCATAAACTACAAGGTTTCAAACAAATATTAGGACTGGAACACTAAACAGTGTCCAATTGTGAAATGTGGGACAGTCTGCGCTATCATTTGAAAGAATTGCTTTCAGAATAAGAATACTAGCCTGGATTTGCCTGGGAGAAATCTGCATATTAAAAGGGATTTTTTAAACATATACAAATTGAAATAACCTATTTGTGGGGGAGAAACAAGTGTTTTATGGATTGGCCAATTAATATAATCATAAACATATTCTAAGTTGTCAGCTATGGTTCAATTTGATTATAAATGCCTCCTGCAAAAAAACTAGAACATGACTCATAGTGAGAAAGCATATTGAGGTTCAGTTCTCCATTTGTAGTTAGGAATATAAGCTTCCCGAAACAACAGGCCTTTGTAGATGCTGATTTCCAACAGAATAAACCTTACAATGCAATGTGACTGACTGAGCTAGGCAACCTCTATGCCTTTATATCCATTTTAGAAACACGAGAAATGAGTTTTGATCTAGAGTTGCTTAAACTAGTCACTTAAACTAGTCACTTTATTTTTCAAAGACAATGTGCCCGTTTTACATAGTCTTGGTAAAAAAAAGTTGAAAATATTTTTATAGTTTTTCATAAATAAATTTGATTAGGAGTACTCAGGATCACTGAGATTCAAGTGACATTGATTGGTTCCATGGCACATCAGACTCCTTAGTAATAGTAGCTATTACTATTAATTAGTAATATTCTTAACTCATCGAAGGCTAATGAAAATATGAGAAAGATACCAGGAACCAAGAAGAAGTTTTTGTATTTCATATACCTTTAAGAACTCTACTTTTTTTTTTTAACTAAGCAAGCAGGATCAAAGCTTGCAGCATATTAAAGCCTTCAAAAGATTTTGGATTCAAGGACTTCTGAGTTCAAAGTTCTATTCTGAACCCAAATTAGCTTCTTGGAGCTTGAAAAACCTATTCTTAGTTCATTGGAATTGGTCAACAAATTTCTGACCTTAATGAAAGTATTAGCTCAAAATATTTCAAATTTGAAACGTTTTCACACATTTCTATACCAGACATTATTTAAAGCATGGCCTTTGTGAATGGTGAGAAAAGAATCAGCAGTTCCCAGGGCAAAGTTATTAATTTTATCAATAACCAACAACCACTTAGCTTCAACCACTCAGCTATGAAACATAGGGAAAGACTGGAAGAAGAAGCAATAAATTCAAACTGTTTGGGGTGTAAAAAAGGAACTGTATCCTCCATTGACAGATGCCAATCAGCTAGTCCATGTAGTTTCTTCCAGTTTGGCAAATAAATTCTTTTCTAACCATACATCACACTATGAGTTTAAGAGATTTATTTGCCTAGCAGCCAAGTTAAGCTGTGTAAAGTCAAGAGGCTGAAACTTACTGCTGAAACCTGGCACATGGAGCATAAAATATCTCCCCCTCTCACTTACACATTTACAAATTCATAATCAATTTTAGATTATAAGGAAAACTTTTTCTCCTGTCTTAAATTATCTTAGATTATCGTATAACAATAGTCCAACACTGCATTCTTAGGGCAAGGAAGATTTTCAGTCCCAGTATTACCTTATGAAACAGATTTAAGACTTTGAAAAGTAATATTTATAGATTTTATTATTTGGTTCTTCTTGTGTTTATTAAAGAATGTTATAGTTTCTTACTATTTGTTTCTTTAGCAGTTTTAAAAAACATAGCCAGAATGAAGAGATGAAATCCAAGTTGTCTGATGCCATGGAGGCTGTTCAAAGTGAAGAAAGTAGCTTAACATGGGAGACCAATTCAAGTAGATGTTCCACATCCCATGCCTCAGAAGCCAGCGTTACATCTGGGGTATACAGTATGGAAAACTCATACACAGATTGTTCTCCGGGGAAAGTTACTTTCCTGAAGGAAGAGAGAAAGACGACGCAGGAAAAGCTGAGCAATTCAACCCATCAGACGTTAAATGAGACGACAGAACCAGACAGCCAAGAAGGTGATTTTTGTCAGACGTCAGTGCTGAAAAAAGCTGAAGAAAGTGAGTTAGATCCATCTGATCCACAATCATGGCCCTCTCAAGTACAACCTTCTAAGATTAAAGACTATTTGGTTCAGATCACACAGGAAGTGACCACTGGGTCAGAGGAGAAAGAAAATACTTTGATGAAAAAAGGGGAGCTGCCTATCAAAGGAACAGTAAGAGCCAGGATTCTTCAAATCACTGCTGTATTGGAAGAAAGACATAAAAAGGTTTTCCGAAGGATAAACAATAAAGATATGCCTCCACCCTTAGAGGTGACCAGGAAGCCAAGAGAACCTCCCAAAGTCTTCTCCAGACGAGGCATATCGGTATCTTTACGGCACGTTGAACAAAACACTGCAGAGAAGAATAACAAGAAGGAAGTTCTGAGTTATAATCTCAGACATGTAGAGACAAGAAGTTCAAAGTCTGCACTTTACAGTAAAGAGGAGAGGAAACCACAGCACTTGTTTCTCCCTAAAACACAGAAGAAGCCTTTAGAAAAGCTACCAAAAATTTCAACACACCTTGATGACAAAGCAAAGAAGCCAGACACCAAACAGTATTCGCCTGCAATTCATACCTCACTTCCAGAACTGATTCAACCAACTGAGTCTGACAAAATGGAAAAAAAGGAAAAACAGTCTGTTTCTCCAAATGTTTCAAATACCGCACTGGAAAAATCGTTCAACTTTGTTGGTGAAAAAAAGGAAATTCAGGATCATATACCAATGACCTTCGAAGTTTCTGATTTATTAAAAGAAGTGAAGTCACCGTCAGAGAATCAAGTAACTCAGCCTTGTTCCCCAGTTCCTGTCGAACCACTTCCTTATGTTGAATCAGAAACAGAAAATCAATCTGACTCAGTTAGAACATTGTTATCAGAAACTTTGATTCAACATTTACAGGACCCTCATAATATTGCAGCTACTCACGGTGAACCTGAAAGTTGTAACTTAACTGACATTGGAACACAATCTATGGAATCTACAATTACTTCAAGACTGGAGATCAAAGATGAATTCTTAGAGCAGCCTGTTGAAGAAACAGAGAATCAAGAGATTTCTCTTCATTCAACTGAAATCACAGATGCTAACCTTGAGAAGTCAAAATTACCATCATTTGTAGAAAAACAGAAAAGCAAGAAAAAGAACAATTATCAGAGAAATCTTCAGACAAAGAAAGGATGCAGGAGCAATTTAGTATGCTTTTACAAACAAATTCAGACCAGCTACCCTCGTTGTCTATGATTCAGGAGTCAGAAGCTCAAGAAACTGAATCTGCATCTGATTTAGCAGTTATGAATACTGAACTTGAAGTGACTAATTTAGCTGAAATTAGAAATCAAACTATGGACTCCACAATTCCTTCAGGAATGGAAGTCAGTGGTACATCCTTGGAGTTTTCAGTTGAAGAAGTAGAGAATCAAGAGATTTCTCTTCATTCAATTGAAATCACAGATGCTAACCTTGAGAAGTCAAAATTACCATCATTTGTTAGAAAAACAGAAAAGCAAGAAAAAGAACAAATTATCAGAGAAATCTTCAGACAAAGAAAGGATGCAGGAGCAATTTACAAATTTGCTTTTACAAACAAATTCAGACCAGCTACCCTCGTTGTCTATGGTTCAGGAGTCAGAAGCTCAAGAAACTGAATCTGCATCTGATTTAGCAGTTATGAATGCTGAACATGAAGTGATTGATTTAGCTGAAATTAGAAATCAAACTATGGACTCCACAATTCCTTCAGGAGTGGAAGTCAGTGGTACATCCTTGGAGTTTTCAGTTGAAGAAGCAGAGAAACAAGAGGTTCCTCTTCATTCAACTGAAACCAAAGACACCATCCCTGAGAAGGCAAGCTTACCATCTTCTGTTAAAGAAGGAGAAAAACAAGAAGAACATTTGGCAGTGCAATATTCAGAAAAAGAGCAGTTAGAGGACAAAATAACTACACCTTTTGAAACAAAGTTAAATCGGCTACCCTTGTTTGGGTGTTTGGACCAGAAGTCTGAAGCTCACGAAACTGAACCAGCATCTTATTTAGCAGCAAGGCATGGTGAATCTGTAACACCTGATTTCGCTGAAGTTAGAAATCAAGCTATGGACTCTGCAATTCCTTCAGAACTGGAAGTCAGTGGTACACCCTTAGAGCAGTCAGTTAAAGAAGCAGACAAGGAAGCAATTACTTTTTATTCAACTGAAATAAAAGATAAAAAAGTAAGGTTACCATCTTCTGTTAAAGAAAGAGAAAAGCAAGAAGAAGAACAGCTGGCAGGGCAATATTCAGAAAAAGAAAGGTTACAGGACAAATTAACTGCACCTTTTGAAACAAAGTCAGGCCAACTACCTTTGTTTGGTTGTCAAGACCATAACTCTGAAGATCATGAAACTGAACCTGTATCTGATTTAGCAGCTACAGGTGATGAGCCCGAAGGGTCAGACATATTTGACATTAGAAATCAAGCTATGGAATTCAAAATTTCTTCACAAATGGAAGTCGAAGGTGAGCCCTTGGAGCATTCTGCTGGAGAAGCCGAGACGCAAGAAGTTCCTCCTTATTCAGCTAAAACCAAACATGCCATCTCTGAAAAGGCAAGATTACCATCTTCTGTTAAAGAAGGAAAAATGCAAGAAGAAGAACAGCTGGCAGGGCAATATTCAGAAAAGGAAGAGTTAGAGGACAAATTAATTACACCTTTCATAACAAACTCAGACCAGCTACCCTGCCTAGACCACAAACCTGAAGTTCCTGAAACTGAACCTGCACCTCATTTAGCAGCACCTGAAGCGTCTGACTTAGCTGAAATTAGAAATCAAACTATGGAATCCACAAGTCTGCCTCAAGTGGAAGTCAAAGGTGCACCCTTGGAGTATTCTTTTGGAGCAGAGTTTTCTTTTTATTCAGCTGAAACCGAAAGCGCCGTCCCTGAAAAATCAACATTACCATCTTCTGTTAAAGAAGCAGAAAAGGAAGAAAAAGAACAGCTGGCAGAGGAATATAAAGAAAAAGAAGAGTTACAGAATAAATTAACTACACCTTTTGAAAGAAAGTCAGAGCAGCTACCCGTGTTTGAGTGTTTGGAACACAAATCCAAAGTTCATGAATCTGAACCCATATTTGATTTAGCAGCTATGCGTGGTGAATCTGAAGTGTGTGATTTAGCTGAAATTAGAAATCAAACTATGGAATCTGCAATTCCTTCAGAAATGGAAGTCAGCGGTACACCCTTGGAGCATTCTGTTGGAGAAACAGAAAAGCAAACAGTCCCTCTTTATTTAACTGAAACCAAAGAGGCCATCCTTGAAAAGGCAAGATTTCCATATTCTATTAGAGAAGGAGAAGACCGAGAAATAGAACAGCTGTCAGACAAAACAAAGGTAGAGGATCAATTCACTGTGCTTTTCCAAAGAAAGCCAGGCTATCTTCCCAAGTCAGAAAGTGAAGAAACTGAACTTGCACTTGATCTAGCTTTCACAACACAGGAAATCTGTAACACTCTGGAAGAGCCCACTGGACTTTCAGAGTCTTCTTATACTATGGTTAAAGAAGAAGCCGCAAAAGAAGAAACATTGAAATCAGACTTGCCAAGACAAACTGCTCAGACTCAGCCATCTCTGACCACTGTCTCAGAAGGAAAACATCTAAGACACAAGACAGAGACTCAGCTTGCCTCAACAGAATCTTTGTGTCCTGATTCCACACTTTCAGTTACAAATGCACAGGAGGAAAAGGCTCAACAACATTCTACAGCACCAGCACCAGCACAGTCAGAACCAGAACATCTTGCTATCTCCAAATCCATAAAGGCACCACATGGACCTGAAGAGATATCACTTCTCAGTGACAAAGTTACTGAGCCAGTCAGCTCATCAGAACAGTTGCTATCTACTCCATCTTTTCTTATTGCCGGTGTGGAAATGCATGGAGCAAAGCCACCCTCACTAAAGGCTACTGCACCATTGTTTGAACAGCCAGACTCTAATATACCCTGCCTGCCTCAGCAAATGAAAAAACAAAGCAATTTGTCTGATTCTGCCGAATTAACTTCTGTAATAGCAGAAGCATCATTTTCTACTGGGTCTTTCCAAAATGCTGAAACAACAAAGGAAGAAAATCCATCCTTGCCATCCACAGAGGGTCTAGCAAAAGAATTAGTATCTAAATCAAGGGAGCCAGAAATTGGCATAGGTACAAAAACAGGGCAACTTTTCCCCACTGTATCTGAACAACACCCAGGTGAAGCACCTGTTCTAATGCAAGAATTGAATTTAGAAAATCAGCTGCACCCCACTATAAAAGCACAGTCAGATGTAGAGAAAGAAGCTAAATCCTCTTGTGAAGTAAGTGAAGATCAACTGAAGCGATCATTGGAATCTGAATCAAGAGAGCATTTTATACAGCAAAAATCTACTGTTTCATCCCAGTTGGAAGGAACAACTGCTTTGCATTCTGTCAATGAAATGCATAAGGAAATTATGCAACCTGATAAACCTATCATCAAGCCATTGCAACCTGATTCATTACATCCTGGTTTTGAGCCACCGCAGACAGATGCTGTTCAGCAGCAAACTCTTCGGCATTTATCGCAAACACTCCTACCCATAGAAGGGGATACAGTCCAGTTAGGAGAAGAAAAGGAGATAAATGGGATCCAGCCTCCTTTGCCCGCAACTAGGCAGGCTTTATCTCAGTCAGTTTATTCAACGGATGTGCAAGAAAATCAAGGTATTTCAGGAGCTGAAGCCAAAGATCCTGAATTTTTAAGCATGCAACTCAATAAAACTGATGCAGACCACTATGGCACTGCCGATCCAGAATCAAAGCACCTGGCAAAACATGCTGTTGAACCTATAACTGCACAACCGGAGACTCCTTCCACGAATGAGATCCACTTCATGCCTGACTTGGGAAAACATTTAGATGCATCCTTTCCCATTTCAAGCACAGAAGGAGAAGGCCTTCAAACGCCTGTATCTGTGACAGCAGAATCAGAAGATGAACAGCCAATATCATCTAAAAAAGATAGGGAAGAAACTGAATGCAGCGCACCCATAATTCCAACATCCAAATTAAAAGGTTCTGCTTCAGAAACGCAGGGAAATCAAAATGATTTGTCTAAGACATTAATTGAGGCATCTGGATCACCACCATTAATTTTACCATTTGTCCCTGATAAAATAAAGCCCCAGGCAATACTTCCCAAATCCGTAGTAAGTTCGCTGCCAGCCTCACAGCAATCAAATGCTATTTCTTCAGAATTTATGGACAAAATTGAAATAGGAAAAAATAATTTCCCTTTCCCTGAGTCTCAAGATTTACCGTTCCCTACAACTTCCTCTGTAGAGGAAGTCAGCAAAGAACCACTACATTCCTCCATGGCCACAAAAACTGTGTCTGAGGAATCCAGATCCATTCTAGATGATGCTACATCTGAAGAAATAAACGAAAAGTCTCCTGTTTCTGTAGCACGGTCTGCAGAACACGTTTTTGTTGAACCTATTTCATCTTGTTCCATTCCTGAAAAGGAGAAACAAGTGCAGCCTCATTCAATTTTCAATGAAGAACCAACGGATGTGGCTGTTAGGAAAGCACATGTGGAAGATACTCGGTCTCATTTGCTTTTTACTCCACAGTCTGAAACCAAGAGCCAGGATAGCATGCTGTATAGTACCATGGCATTGCAATCAGAGCTGGAAGGCCTCACTTTATTGAATTCCACTGAAGAAAAACCCAAGCAAGAAACTGCTTTATATTCACCTTCCACCTTGCCTCAAGGAATATTATATTGCCATGAAGAAAAAGAAGACCAAAAACGAAGAACTACTCCGACTGAATGTTCAAAAGACCAGGATGCACCATTAAAAGATGACAATTTGTTGCAACCAATAAAAGAATCACAGCTGGAAGAAATTCAGCTTTACTGTTCTGCAACTCTTCAAGATTCATCCCAATTGGCTGATATGAAACCCCAAGAACAAGCGGATTATCTACCTACAACTGAAGAGGTAGATTCTGGTGATGCTGTATTATCACAGTTGATGGATGATGCAAAAAAACAAGAAATGCAGATAATGTGGTCTGAAGCTGCTCAAATAGAAAGTAAACCATCTGTTTTGTTAGAAAATGAAATGAAACCTGACCTGCATCCATCATTCACTGCATCCCTGGATACAAAACAATCAGATTTTTCTTATTCAAAACAAGCAGAACTCTATTCATTTGAGGAACAAAATCAGACTTCTGAACAAGAACCACTCATTTCATCTCTTTTCACTAAGAAAGTGAAAGAGCCAGAAGACAATTCATATCCATCTTTAGTCTCAACATCTTTATTGAGCCCATCCAACTCTGCTACATTGGATCCAGAAAAGAAACAAGAAACTCAGTCTTGCACAACTATAATAACAAAGGAGATCCCAGAAGAACCCATGTCCATTGCTGCATTCCTTCTTTCTGAGGCAAAGACAATAGAAACTTTTTCTCCACAGATCTCAGAGAAAAACACTTTAGATACTCAGGCTCCTTTTGGGGATGCTGATTCAATAAATGGTTCAACTGTCCTTTCTGAGAAAAATGCAACAGCAGAGAGGAAAACTGAGTTTTCTCCAACACATTTTGAATCAGAACCCCAGGTAGACAGAATCGTTAGTACAGAACATCTTTCAAAAGCAGAAGAAACAAAACATTTGCCTACCATGGAGGATACTTTGAAAGTGCCTGAAAACTATTTGAGTGAAGAGAAGGAATTCAAAGGTCAAGAGAAATTGAGAGAAGAAGCCTTACCAGCTCCTAATCTTGATCAACGAAAAGACATAGTTAATATTTCTGAAAGTTGTGAAGTTGTGAAAACTAATGTTCCTCTCATTTCCTCTGTTGATAGAAAAAAGCTTCTACTAGGGGCAGTAGAAACCATTTCATTGTTGGAAACAAAAGCATGTAATGATACTAGAGATGTGGTTGTTGATAAGGAACCTTCAGTCAACAAACCAAATGAACAATATACAGAGGACTTAAAGGTAGATCACCATGAAATGACAGAAAATGAATCAAAGGAACTTGGAAAAGGGAAGGGTATTAAGGAAAGTACAGAAATGGAAGAGGTTGCTGTTCTTCCAGAGAGCAAGGATGATAATATTTATAATAATGCCAATATTGATTATGTTGAAAAGAATATTTTGATTGAAAATACATCCTTCACCCAAATAGAAAAAGAAAAGTCTATTCAGGACACAGAGAGGCCATTTGATGACACAGATAAACAATATGTGGAAATGACATATCCAGCAGCAAAATCAAAGAATATTGTGGAGCTGTCTTTATTAGAAAGAGAATTGAATGAAACCCCTAATGGATTGATAGAAAAACAAAATGCAACAGCTACCCATCAAGACATTTCAAAAACAGCAAATGAAAATACAATGATTGAAACTGTTAGGGATGATGATAAAAACATAGAGCATGAGTTTAACTTAGCAAACACTAATGCAGTCTTATTTAATACTGAAAAAGATGAGTTGTCTCAGTCTCCAATTGCTTCCTTGTCAACGACTGTAGTAGACTCTGAGGTTCTAGAGATGCCACCTGCCTTGGCATTTTTATGTAAAGATTTCTATGAAGAAGCAGTGGGTGATTCTAAAAAAGATAACCACAAACGTAAGGAAGTGAAGGATATTGATCTGCCTTTTCATATCAGAGAACATATTCCAGATGATGGGATTGAAACGCATCTGGAGAAGGAAATTCCTAGAGATTACACTCCAAATAATGTGGAAGAATCCAAGAATGAAGACATTTTAAATGGTCAGTCTTTTAAAGAGGAAACTTTAACCCAACCAAAAGTCACAGAAGATGCTTACGAACTAAATGGAAAAAAGACTGAATCTGCAGATATTCAACCTGGTCTATCTGCCCAAGTGGAGGAATGCCTGAGTGATATACTTACGAATGGGGTAACTGAGATTGTGAGTGACATAAATATTAGGATTTGTCAGCCAACACATGCAATTCCTTTCGGAAGAGAGTTCTATAGCTCAGGAGCCAGCAATGATGACAGTAGTCAGAGAAGAGAAGAAGAATCTGATGACACAGGCCAGCAAGCACCAGAAGAAACAAGTGATGAGGAGTCCAGTCCAATACTTGATTATGCAGCAACTCTATATCAGACTGAATCATCTGGGCAAAATGGATCAAGTAATGATGTTGGATATGCAGTCATCCAAAACCAACAGTCTGAAATAAAAGAAGTTCATGGAATGGATGAGGGTGAAGTTGTAAAGACTGCAGAAAAAAATGCACAGTCTCTTGAAGGATTAGGTCAGGCTGAAAGACAAGGTGAAAGACAACTAGAAGATACATATGTTTTAGTTGAGCCCCCAATTCAAGATACGAAGGTTTTAGATCACAAAGATCTTCCATGTTTGGACACTGAAGTGCAAAAACCTGAGAGCAGAATTGGAGAAAATAGTGGCCAACATCTAATGCAAACTGACACACCAGACCAGTTAGCAGCAGGAGTAAAATCTGATAACCAATTTGGGGAAGTTGACTATCCTCTTTTGTCACATGATTTTGATACCTACCCATTATACTCAATAAAAGAGGAAGAGGACAGTGACATTGATGAAGATCTAGCTGAGCTCTTAAACTATGAAGTGGTTACCCACGATGATGTCTTTCAGGAAGAAATCTCTTCAGAAATAGCTCATGAAGAATTGCTTTTTGATGATAAAGAATCCCTAGATGGTATTAGTAATACTTATGAATTTGTGAATGAAGGAGAGGCAAGAATGTATGCTGAAGAAAAGGCAACTGAATCGCTTGAACTTGAAATGCTACAAAGAAATGTACCAGAATATGAATTTCTACAGAAAGAAGTTGATCAAGCACATCTGGATACGTACTGCTACCAGTGCAAATGTCCCATCTCCTCTGAAGATAAGCTTTTTGAGGAACATAAAGACCATAATGTAGCCGATTTGGGTACAGCTGTGACTGTGTTAAAGGTAAGACATTAAAAGTATGCAGTTATACTGCTCTTTGTTCTCACTGACATATTTTAGTGTTTAACTAAAATAGACAAAAGCAGCAATATATATCTAGTGCCCTCTAGATGTTTTGACCTTTAAGGCTCCAGACAATATGGCCATTGGCAATGTGTTGAGGTAAAGAAAATCTGAGGGAATCAACATTCCTGCAAGATGAAGAAAGCAAACACTTAACACTTAATATAAGACAAGCTCTTATGGTTATATAAGAAATGCTTATAGTTGGCTTGGAGGAATGACAATTCTTCTTAAATGGCTCAGAAACAATGGTGTATTTCCACAGACATTATTTTTCCCCCAGAAATGTAAGGTTCTCTCTTTTTATTTCTTGAGAAATGAAGACAGGTAAAGAAGACAGGCAGTAATGGGAAACACTACATCTCACAGAATTAAGCCAGCCGCCCTGAGTCTTCGGAGAGGGGCGGCATATAAATTGAATTAATTAAATTAAATTAAATTAAATTAGAACCACACCGTGCTTTTTTTTATAAAATCAGAAAATCTCAGAAGTTGATCATAAGTGTTCTATGTAATTTCTGCTGTGATTCTTAGTTTAGAATGTTGCTTTCTCAGTTGTTTAACTGTTGAACTCTTTTCTGAATTTTTTAAACATGGTTTATTTTGGATGGACTACCATTACACATGTTTTACTTAAGTATCCCTTGGGGTACTCTGGAATTTGTATCCTTTTGACTCTCAAAGGCAGCTCTTCAGAACAGGAAATGGATGGAGATCTTGAAAATCAAGGGCCCTGCCTTGCGCAATTGCTCATGTTTTCTGTTAATGTAAACACACCCTTTGATACAATCCCAGATGATAAGATGCTAACTATATTTATTTTTTAGAAGGGCAACAGCATAATTGTAGAACGTTTCATCCAAAGGTTTGCTATACTTCTATGATTCACTCAAAAACAAGAGCAAACAAAAATTGTAGCATTTTTTTCATATTAATTTTAAAGATTTTAAAGATCTGGGGGCAATATGCTGACTCTGTAAACTGCTTAGAGAGGGCTGTAAAGCACTGGGAAGCAGTACACAAGTCTAAGTGCTATTGCTATTGCAATTGCTATTTTCACTTCATTAGTTCAGATGCTAAAATATGATATGCCCCCCCTGCTTTTTTCCGGACAAAGCATTATGAGTTTGTTCATAAGTTTTTGTGGATGTTTGGTATGTATGAAAGATACTGTATTATCCATCCATCCATCCATCCATCCTTTTGATATCTGTAAACTACCCCTGGAGTATTTTCGACTTGGACATTAAATGTCCAAGCAATGTAGTTTAACATGTGTAATAAAATATGAAAAGTAGGGTAGTACCAATAGAGGATTCTAGAAGTCCCAAAATCAGATAACAGGTAGGTACTATGTGCAGCATATAATTATAGATTTCAGATATATTCTGATTTTATTGCAGAGATATAGTCTGGGCCTTCTCTTTAATGTTATTAGGCAAGCTTCTCTCCCTCCCTCCCTCCCTTCCTTCCTCCCTTCCTTCCTTCCGGTGTTTATTGTTTTTGCTTAATTTATTAATTGTGAAATAAAGCCACCTGAGAAACTTTCTGATTGACTTGTAATATACCCTAAAACAGTTAGAAGCATAATACCACACACCAGCAGCAGAAAAACAAAGTCCATGTAAACAGCAAAAGCTTGGACATTTTCAATTGTTTACCTTAGTGCCCACTCCTGGCTTAAAGACCATTTTAAGAGTTTAGTGACCTTCTTTAAGAGCTGAAATATGAATGGAGGTTTTTTAAGCTGACACTATGTTCTAGAGGAGTTGAAGTCCACAAGTCTTAAAGTTGTCAAGGTTGGAGACCCCTGCCCTAGAGGTTTGCTGCTGTCCTGGTTTATATAATAGTCTCACAAATTTGATGCCCCAGGGCAGATATAATTCCAAATCATGGGATGTTGACTAGAATTATGGAAGTTGCTCATATAAAAAGACCTAGTGTGGGACAAGGTAGCTTTTCCATATTACTGTGGTGGACGATAAGCAGCTGCTAAGAATATCAGCAGAATCATAGGCCTTGGAATTGTCCCTAAATTAGTTTCTTGAAAGTCAAAGGACCCAAGGACATTCTGTGACATCTGCCTTTGGCCCTGCAATTTAGAAGGAGAGCCAGAAATGAATTCTAGCTCTGTAATAAAGTCTCCTTCACGAGTATAGCTCCACCAGGCAGAAAGATCATTTAGATGGCATGTCTGCTTCATTTCTACTACTGTATTCATATGTGATCATATCCCTCTGTAAAAAAATGTACAGGTAACTGAAACTAACCATTTTAGCTTTTGTCAATTACAGAATATGCTCTGCATAATAAGCTTCTAAGAGTGGATGTTCTTTAAAATCAAATGTTTCCACCTGAAACATGTATACATTGGAATATAACATTGCATTCTGCTGTATGCATTTTTATACCCTGTTTCCCCTGTAAGGTCCCAAAATGTACTTGGGTCACCAAAATGCCAAAGAGAAAGACTCAAGACGAGGCTTGCAAAAAGAAGCAGATTTTATTTATGGCCAAAAACAAAATACTGGATGGGACTATATCCAGAACATACAGATACAATGCATGTGAGGAAATAGCCACACCTTGGGGAAGGTATGGTGTCCTTTTATACCCTCAGAGACACCATCTTAGTACCCAATTCTGGCCCCCTGGCCCATGCCTTCCTTGTAGCCCTGCATTGGCTGTGCAGCAAGAAGCAGGGGCAGGGGGGCTGAGCGCCTAGCAACAGAGGGGCTGGGTGTTTAGCAACCCCTCCACCAGGCACGGAGTGGTACAGAAAAACAAAATAACACAGAGGTGAGATCACTGGTAGAAACACATGGCAGAGTCAATTCTAATTCTTACCAAAGCAATTCTTACAGGAGCAAAACAGCAAGTCAAACCAATTCTACTGACTCTACTATTATGTAGCTAGCTGTTCTATTATTATTATGTTCCTTCACCCCCAAAATAAGACATCCCCTGATAATAAGCCCAATCGGGCTTTTGAGCACATGGCAATAAGGCCAAGCACTTATTTCAGGGTTCAAAAAAATATAAGACAGGGTCTTATTTTGGGGGAAACATGGTAATTCATGGGTGTCACATATGCTAACTTCAAAGCCTAATCTTCCTTTTAAACAAATAGTGATATTTGGTTTCCATTAAGGTCAGTTGTCTGCAAATTATTTGGAGACAGAGGGCTAAATATTCTGAAGGAAGGTCAGGAAGGAATCTGAAAAAAAAACCCATCATTTTTCATGACTATTGTCTCAATTATTTGAAGTGCAGTTTTGTTACAGCAGCATTGGAGATGGAGGAAAAGCAAGTCAAACAATAAAGGGAGCAGGGGAAGCCAGCAAGGGAGTTAAAAAAAGTCAAGATGGCAACTAGGACTGCATGTTCAAAATCCCACGTGCCAATGTGCCATTTTGACAGACACCCTATCAGGAATAAAGATGACAAAATAGCATTTATTTGATTAAACAGGATGCCTGCAATCTAAAGGAACCATATACAATGTTCTGCCCTTTTCTCTTCTAGAGCCTCCCTCTAACCTGTGTCTTTAATATAAGGTAGGCTTTCCCAAATGTAGCAACTTCAAGACGTGTGGACTTCAACACCTATAGCTGGCTGGGGAATTCTGGGAATTGAAGTCCACACATCTTAAACTTTCTAAGTTGGGAAACTCTGATATATGGAATCTCCCAGAAAACCATCTGATGAAGCTAGAATGAAAAACTGCTTGCTATCCCAGACTTGTAAACACACAAAGACTCTCCAAATAAAGGGGCAATCCAAGAAGTGTAACAAGATGAGCAACCTGTTGATCACACGATGTTATAACTGGGACCTTGCAATTGAGTGCAATTCGATCAATTCCTGCAGCAATAGTGTTGTACTATGGAGGCAGAAGGACTATTTCAAGGAAGTGAATGCCGCTCAGCGTCACCTTGAACTCTGCGAGATTGGTGAAAAATAAATTTAATAATAAAAAAACTGTAGACAAGTGCTTAAGAGGGCATCCTGTATTCTCACTTGGAGTAGGGGTAGGGATCTTTGGTTCACCCGCTTCCTGCTGTAGGGGTATTGTCACATGCTGGCTGAGGAATTCTGAAAGTCAATATATCTTAAAGTTTCCCTGGTTGAGCACACCAGCTTATTAATATCAATAGAAGTTTGTCAAAACAGTGCACATTGAAACAAGAGATATATTAGCTGTTTATTTCCATTTAATTTTGTGAAGAGGGCGAAGGATTTTCATTTAAACACAGAACTGAGGGGGAAGATCTGATCATTTATTGGATGACAAGCACTGGTGGTTTGACAATGCCTTGTATTCAGCTAATGGCTGCTGGTTCATTGTGAAGTTGACAGCCTTGTAAACTTGTAAACATCCTCTGCTCAGAGCATCCTAAATGTCCAAATAGATCCAAAAACTGTCAAAACAGCCCAGATCAATCTCTGGTGCTTTTAAAAACTGGCTGCCTGACAGACCTTGGGCAATTGTTGAAAGTCAGATACTGTATAGGTTTGAAGGATTTGGCCCTTGGGCTTTGATACATACATTTCCTACTTAATTGGTCCTATATAATTAAACGTACCATTACAAAACTTGGGGCTTTCTGAGGCATTAATTTAAAATTAATAATTTTTTGAATGAGAAGTAGAGGTACTATTTGGAGACACAAAGTTGAAAAAAACTGGGTTAAATAGACAAAAGCTTTCAAGGAAGATAGAAGGAAAGAAGGAAGGAAGGAAGGAAGGAAAGGAAGGAAGGAAGGAAGGAAGGAAGGAAGGAAGGAAGGAAGGAAGGAAGGAAGGAAGGAAGGAAGGAAGGACACGAAAGCACACATTTTAATTCTACTTTAATGGAGCTTATTGCCAAACAGATTCTTCATAACAATTTGCTTAAATCTCCTGATTTTGCATTTTGACTCATGTGCTATTAAAATGTTACCCAATAAGATGTTGAGCCCAAATTTGACATATGTGTAGCCATATATCTACATATTTCTGAAAGAAATATCCCATCCAATAGTAAGTCCATTAAAAGCAGAAAGTCCTACTACTTAGGAAACAAGCGTGTAGGTCAATAGCATGAAATAGAACATTTCATTCAGACCTCAATTCCAAGGTGAGGATTTCAGGACTGCCAATGAGCCTGCTCTTGCTGTGTATCAGTGATGCAATGATGGCTTTTGAGAAACCTTTCATGAAAGCTTAAACGATTTTTAGCATCTAATTCTATGCATGAGAAGAACATTATAAACTAATCTTTTTTAGGCAATTAAGATTTTAAATATATATATATAAAATCTCTTTTAGGGCCAGTTGAATGGATTCCTAGATGTTTTGCAACAAAGATCTTTGAAAATTGAAGGATGTGTCAGTGAAATAGAAGCTTTGTTTAACACTCTGGAGGTAGGTTGGGCAAGGAATCTGCTGAATGAGTGCCATCATCTTAGTTAAGACAGAACTCACTAGATTGCTTAGTCATTCTGCTAGTCAGGGCTGGCTTTTACCATGCCTCACAATGCAGGGCTCACACAGCTCTTGAAGTCATCTTATGGCTTGTTTATTTGTGATATGAACTAGCCAAAATTTTGTTACTTATCTCATTGTTAAATATCTCTTCTTCGTTGTTTGAACATAGTGCATGTTTTATACACCACAATGTAAAAAGGATTCAGATTACTTGGAATGAGTCCAAAACAATGAGTTCAGAATACTGGAAATGAATAAATATCTTACAGAGAGAGAGGAAATTGGATTACTGTATTTTTACCCATGAGAAAAAAAATTGACAGTGGGCTGTGGGAAGAAATTAGGATTATCTTTCCTGGATTCATATAACATACTAAGTCATGATGTAGTATGTTTACTTTGGGTTTTTAGTCTGTTTTGTGAACCGAGGCATTGTGATTTCCATACCTATTTATTAGATTTTAATACTATTGTAATCATATGTTTGGCAATGATTTGTTGTTTAGCCATATATGTGAAGCTGTTCTTCATTGTATATATATATTTCTATTAAGAATTTTGATTATATTAATAAAAACTAATACAAACTAAACTTAAAAAAGAAGAGAGAATAAAAATAAAAAATAAAAGTGACTTCCATACTATATCATAAGTGTAAACAGGTTTTGTGACACCATGTCTCCTCTAAGATTATAAACAATTATCTCTTCATCCCAAGATGTAATAACACATTTTGTTTTAACTTGATCAATTAAACCAATTTTATATTCCTTCCTTTTCCTTCTTGTCTTTAGATCATTTAAATATTATCGTAGGATTTGATTTCTCTTCTTTGTCCCATTGTACAGAGTTCTTCAAGGCTTTAATAAGCTCTTTTTGTAAATCCAATAGGAAAAAAATTGTCTTGGTTAATCATCTGTATTTCCCTTTTGAATTTTAAAACATCAGCCAATTTATTTTGTAGCTCCAGTGAAACATCTTTTCAAAGTAATTTTTGGCCTGCCAATTGTAAATTTACTTTTGATATCAACTCTATCTTGTCAGAAAAACAAGATTGTTGTTCTACATCAGTCTTTTTCCAATAAATTTTTTAAACCTAGTATGAAACCCTTCTTCTAATGCCTAAAAGTTTCATGTAGAAGAAAACCATCACTTCTATTATGTAGAAGTGCAAGATACAAGTGAGTCCACAGGTTATGGTCATAAAAAACCACATGGCTGGGATAGTGTGATCAGAGCACAGCCGATTTTTTAGTATAACACACATAAAAACAAAACATAACTTTGATTACATCATTATGGATGGCATTTTACTTTTTTGACCACATCTATTAAGTCTCCCCTCATAAAATGCAATATAATGGTCTTCTTACCTGTAAGAACCCATTGACAATAGAGCCAAATGCTCAAATTACATTGTGAAGGCTTGTTTTGGTTGAATGTGCTCAACAATGGTGTATTATTTTGAAGAATTTTACCTGGAAAAGTAGGTTAGAAGTCTCACCTCCTAAAAGAGAAACATTTACAAAGAAATTTCATTTAATGTTTCATGCTGGAATATTACGTTTTCTTCTGACCTCTATTCCTAGGACAACTGTAAGGAAAAGGAGAAGTTATTAGAAGAGCAAAATGAAAATGTGGTACAGATGATATTTGGTCACCATGAGAGAAAGTCACAGAATTTTGAAGAAGCAAAGAACACAAAAATGGAATATCTTTATGAACAGATGGTTAATTTTCAAGACTATATCGATACAGCAAAGGAGACACTAGAAATGATAATAAAGGAAACTGAGGAAATTGATGATTTTGCTTTCCTAAAGGTAAGTAGTACAAAGCTATATTATATTCCCAAAGTTTGGGATCATGGAAAAATAAGTCTATGATTGATATTCTTTGCTACATTGCTCTTCATGGAAGCAGATTGGCTATTATTTATCAGCAGGCTTATGATTGAGATAGATTTTTGAAGCTTCAATCCTATACTTTAACTGAGGAATTAGATCCACCGAAGTAATTGGTGCTTAATTTTGAAATAATATTCATAGGATTTTGCCATGAGATAGCTTGTGCGGGAACGATAACACTTAAAATTCCCTGCCAGATACATCAAATTAAGGAAAGCTTGTAACACAGTCTCCATCTCTATAATATTCTCCTGAGTTTATTTTATGTTGTATTTGCATACTTCCTAAAAGCACTGGTGGGACTATCCTGGGCTTAATCTCCAAATCCATTAAGGACAGAAACTTTCAAAGTGTTGAGGGAGACTGGAAGTTCCTATTTTTATTTTACTGTACATCGAGTTATGGGAGGTTGAACAACTGGCTCTTTAGTGCAGCCAGAACAATCTGGAGCTGAAAATGCTTAAAACTGTAGAGGTGAGAGTGGATTTTAGGAGTTCTCCTATTCTACCACCTCTTACTATATTAGACAACACAGTAACAACAGTAGAGACCTTAAAGTTTGTAGGTTCTATAACCGTGATGGCGAACCTATGGCACGCGTGCTCCTGTTTCGGCACTCGGTGCCAAAAAGGTTCACCAACACTGTTCTATAATCTCCCAGGATTTGTAAAGGACACCTCAGAACCATCATAAAAAAGGCATGACAAAGTATGTTCTCCTGCATCAACTCAAAAAGTTCAGACCGCCCTAGAGCTGTTGATACAGTTCTATAGAGGAATTATTGAGTCTGCCATTTGTATTTCTATAACTGTCTGGTTTGTTATAGCAACCAAATAGGATGGGTACAGACTTCAGTGGATAGTTAGGACTGCAGAAAAAAAATAATTACAACAGCCTGCCTTCCATTAAGGACCTCTGTATTGCATGGGTCAGAAAGAGGACTGAGAAAATATCTACAGACCCCTCACATCCTGGACATAAACTGTTTCATATCCTTACCTCAGGCCACCACTACAGGGCATTGCATGCCAAAACAACCAGACAGAGACAGTTTTTTCCCTTGTGCCATTACTCTGCTGAACACCTAATTTCCACAATACTACTGTCTTATGTCTATTTACCCATATAGTATGGCTGTATTGTTATTAGGCTTCTCATCTTTTTGACTCCTCTTATTGGTATCATTATTATGCTTATTATTATTTTGTTGTTTTGTATGTACACTGAGAGCTTCTGCACCAGAGACAAATTCTCTGTGTGTCTAATTACACATGGCCAAATAAAGCTATTGGGGGGTTGTACTAGAAGACCTCCAAGGTCCCTTCCAACTCTGTTATTCTATTCTATTCTATTCTATTCTATTCTATTCTATTCTATTCTATCCATCAGGCTGCAAAAAGTCAGACAACAACCGATGACCTCAAATTATTTTTCTATTCATTGTTGCCATTCAAGCAGCAAGCTTGTTTTGCAGACAGAGAAGGATCTGTTTTCTCCAATTTGGCATTTAGCTACAACAGAAAACGAAACAAAAGCCCCCTAAGCTAAATTAAAGTGCAGTATGGGCCAGCAGTTAAGGCATCAGTCCTGTCTAGGAGACTGAGGTTTAAAGCCACCAGGTGACTTTAGGCCAATCACTCTCTTTCGGCTCAACTCACTTCACAGGATTGTGAAGTGAATGTTTGCTGTTTTGAGTTATTTATAAAAATAATAAAGTAGGATAAAAAAAGAATCTAAAAAGAAAACACCTCCACCAGCCACCGATGTAGTCCAACATAATTGGAAGTCATCAGTTTGGAAACATCTAGATCTATGCTCTTGTAATGTATATAATTAAAGCAAAATAAAATAAAAGGCTGAAGGATGTGTGGGTGGAATCTTCTTAATATAGAATACTCTAACTTAAGCTTGCCAAGGCTCAACTGCTGCTAGTAGTGATTATTTAATTCAGGTCCCTATATAAATTACTAGGATACTGTTTCTCCTTCAGTTTTGCAAATTTGGAGGTTAGGGTTGGTACAAATATACAATATTTATTTAGAAAAGGGAAATCCTGCTCTGATATATGTGGAGCCATGTCAGTAAACAAAATCTCACATGTTTTATATTCAGTATGTTGAATAACATGAATCAATTAATCCCTTCTCTCTTTTAGTCATCTGAAGAAATAAATAAAAGGTATTTGAAATGTAGCTTTGATGCATTGTGCAGAGAATTAGGATGAGCATGTTTTAATACTTTAATCCTGTCAAGGTCTGTTGGAGGCATGTTGCCAGTAAATATATCTCATTTTAGAAACGTCTTGATGAAACAAAATAATAATAATAAATTGGTGTGCTTGGCAGTGATAGTCAAGAGTTGGAAATATTCAGCATGAATTTTATAACTCATTAAATACTAGTAAGTAAGGCATGATACAATTCCATTGTTTTTTCAATAGCAGCTACAGAGCATTTCAAAGTGGGCATTTATTGCGGTTATATAAAATCTATTTTAAAATTCCAGTTGCATTCTGCAAAATGTCAATATTCATGAGTATTCAGGTTTTGTTGATTTAATTACCGTATTAGATGAAATGTTAATGAAAATGATCCTAAATGCTAGTTTGGTAAAATAATTAAATTTTGACCAGTGAAAACTCCAATGCCAATTAAGTATGAATTTGTCTTTTTATTTCTGATTCCTGTATCAGAATAATTAGGTATTAGTTATATATTGCTTCAGGATATTTTCACAAAGACTCTCCCAACAATTAATTTTAATCAAAGCACTATTTGATATGACTTTCCAAAAGATCTGGGAACCCACATGTTTTCTAGAAAATTGAAAGGTGATCTAAAAATGCCAAAATTGTTCCTGATATAGTTGTGAATTCTTTGGATCTATTGCTGCCTTTTCACTCAAGAAATCTTGCAGTTTTTTTGAAATTTAAAAAAAGTTAAAAGAAAAAACATTAACAACTCAGATAGGATAGTGGGAGGAGATAGAAAATATCCCTCACTGATAAAGATTTAAAGAATAGTTCCATGGATTTTGTAGGAAATTAATCTGGATGTTCTGCTCACAGTAGATTTCATAGTTCAACAAACTCTATTAGTATTCATCTTTCTCCTATAAAAGGTTTCTGGAAAAAAGAGGTATCATACTGAATATTGCATGCAACCATCAGGCAATGTGTTGTTAAAAAGGAGTTCTAAAATAGTGAAATTTGCATTTGAAAAGAGAGCATCAAAAAGATTTAAATGGCAAAGAACACTTAACACAGAGCATGTAAGGTCTTGGCCAACTTACATTAAGAATGACATAAATCAGGGGAATATAGTCTCCTTATGTTAGAAGATATTACATTATGAAATTGCTTGTAATTTTTTTAAAAAACATGGATAAATACAGAAATACTTTTCTATTAACATAGATACTAAAGGGGGTAGATTTTGTAGTAACCTGCCCATATTTAATAGACAGCAAGTATCCTTTTGCACTTCAAAGATTTTATTATACATTCCTCAGCATTGTTTCCCATTTTGTTCTAAGCCAGGGGTGTCAAACTCGATTTCACTGAGGGCTGTATCAGGGTTGTGTTTGACCTCGAGGGGGCTGGGGTGGGCATGGCCAGGGTGGGTGTGACCAGCTCAACATCACTCATGTCAGGAGCACCTGTGGTGGCCAAAGTATTCTGCCAGCGAAAACAGGCTTCCGAGCTCCATTTTTGGCTGCGACAGCTTCCTGCAATCCTCTACCTCTACCTCTACCGAAAACGGCACTCGGGAGGTCCACCCGCGGCCCTTGCAAGCTCTGTTTTCGACTGTGAAGGCCTCCTGCAACCCTCTGCCAGCGAAAATGGAGCTTGGGAGGGCTGCACATGGCCTGGCCCCAAACTGCATTTTTGCTGGCAGAGGCACCACGGGCCAGTCCTTTGCTGTTTTTAGGGCAGCCCTGTGGGTCAGATCTAAGGACCTGGTGGGCTGGATCCGGCCCTTGGGCCTTGAGTTTGACACTGTATGGTCTGGAGGGTTTTTTTTTTTTTGTTTCTTTATTTTTTTATATAATGTAACAAAATAAGAATTGTGATGTGTAAATTTTCCTTTGCACCTTAATATTAATTGTAATCCATTTAATCCTGCTACAGTTGTGTAAGGTCCCAAAATACACTTGAGTCACCAGAATGCCAAAGAGAGAGACTCAAGACGAAAACAAAATACTGGGTGGAACTATATCCAGAACATACAGATACAATGCATGCGAGGAGATAGCCACACCTTGGGGAAGGTATGGCGTCCTTTTATACCCTCAGAGACGTCAGCTTAGTACCCAACTCTGGCCTCTCAATCCAGGCCCGTGCATTTCTTGTTGCCCTGCAAGGGGGAATAGAAACTTCCCAATTAGTCATCTTGAGCATTTCTTTGTTTACTCAATTGGCCACTTAGGCCCCCTGGCCCTGGAAAGTAGGAGTCTATCCAGATCAACATAAATTAAGACTGAGATAGTACCATGCTCTTAGATGGCACAAGAAAAAAACAGGGAGAAGATTAATATGGGTTCAGGTCAAATGGCAGGGACATATGTTTGACAAATACCAGATACATTACAGGCCTAATAACAGAATATGTTTGTTACAGGAGATACAAATATAAAGGCATAATATATGTGATACAAATACAAAGGCATATGTGTATTACAAGAACCTAATGGTTACAGAATCTAGTATACCAGTATATCATATCCTAGCATTATTTATTATATCCTTATTATTGTTTCCCTTCAGTTGGTTTGACAAGTTATGATTAAAACAAATTGTGTCATGGAGGAGCATGTACAAATGCAGTCAATAGAGTAACAGCTACAAAGGAGAGGCCTTGTATGAGGATCTAAGTATGAAAAGGTACACCCAGCCAATGGAATGCAGGTCACGTGGGATCAAAGAGAATTTTATCTGCTCAAAAATAGCACTGCTTTGTGTTCAGAGATATCTTCCCTTGATATAAGAAAAACTCCTTAGTGCATTGTTGATGAACCTTTTCAGCACTGAGTGCCAAAACAGGAGTGTGCATGTGTGCATAACAGAAACCAGAAGAGCAGCTGCCCAGTGCGCATGTGTGCGCCGGGCGGCACCGGCCACCTGGTCTTCCTGTTTCTGGAGCAAATGCACGCACGATGACCAGCTGGCCGGCGCATTGGAACCAGGAAGAGCATCAGGCGATGGCTTGCGTGCCTGGAGAGATGGCCCTATGTGCCACTTCCGGCACACGTGCCATACGTTTGCCATCATGGCCTTAGTGTATTGGGCCTGATTTTATTTTGAAATATGCCCATTTGCCAAGAAAAAAATAATTAAAAAAATAGAGGTACCAGAGAGCATTTTGGGAAGGATTCATAATGGGAGCAATTGGCCTTTTAGGAAATAGATGCTTGTAATTGACCTCATTCCTCATGGCAGCCACTATATGAGAATATGCATAGTGCTGTAAGCTGTCAAAATTTCAGATGTGGTCATCGGCCTAAAATGATTTGGGCATGTCTGCAATAAACTATATAATCTACCTTCAGTTATGAATTCCTTATTGATGAAAATACCCAAATTAAGTCCTAGTTCAGAACATCTTCAAGACCCAGTAGAAGTTAAGCCAGTGTTTCTCAACATTGGGAACTTTTAAGATGTGTGGACTTCAGCTCCCAGACTTCCCCAGCATGCTAGCTTAAGAGTACTATATGTGCAGCACTGGCTTTGTCTCACAACTTATTGTCTGAAATAAAGGCCAAGCTGGCACTTATATTCCAATCCATTTACAATAATGTCACCTGACCTTGCAATTAATAAGATAACTGTCTCAATCTTACTGTATTCAGAATAAAGGAATTTATTTATTTTATTTTATTTATTTATTTATTTATTTAAATTTTTATACTGCCCTTCTCCCACAGGACTCAGGGCGGTGTACAGCCATACTAAAACAACATACACCCATAAAATTTAAAAACAGTTTAAAATATATTAAAAATTTGGCCCTTATATTAAAAAACTACAAACACTCAAATAAAATTCATTTTCTAAGCCAGCCCAGCCTGTTGAAACAATAGAGTCTTAAGGGCACAGCGAAAGGTACGTAGGTCGGGGATCATCTCCGGGGGCAATTCATTCCAGAGGGCAGGTGCCCCCACAGAGAAGGCTTCCCTCCTGGGCATCGCCAGTCGACATTGTTTGACTGATGGCACCCTGAGGAGTCCCTCTCTGTGGGAGCATATTGGACGGTGGGAGGCTATCGGTGGCAGAAGGTGATCTCGTACGTACCCAGGTCCTAAGCCATGGAGCGCTTTAAAGGTGGTAACCACCTTTATGGTTAAATGGGGGCAGACAGAGATATATCTTTGGCCCCTGTGTGTATGTGTATGTTTGTGTAAAAACTTCACTGCAACTTTCCTCTTCAGCCTTTATTTGTCTACATAAAATGCAAATTCTTTAGTGTTTACGGTTGACCTATTTCAAGAGTAATTCTTTGCTTTTAAATGATGACACGCCGCTATTTTGCATAAACAGGCTCTCTGATACTTGTCTTAGAGTTAAAAATGTTTTCCTTTTTTCTCTCTGTAAATAAGAGTTAATAACTTCCAATTCTGTTTGCTTTTGTTTCTACCTCCTTTTTTGATATGAGCTCCATACTGTTAGCTCCTTTATATGACAGTTATGGCATCAGTTAAATTTCCTCCTTGCTCAACCTATTTTCTGTTATATTTACAAATATTTCAAAGGACAGTTTTTATTCTTTCAGTCTCTATACTTTTCATTATGACCTTAACATCTTTGTGCTTCAGAACTGGACAGTTAGGTCTGATCACTAGTCTCTCCCTTTCAAAAAAGGTTTTGGGAACAGCTGTTCTACATTTCTGCCATTCACCTGTGCTTTTACTGCCTGTAGCTGGGGTGGATGAGTGGCCATAAATGCTGTGGAAAGAGGAGAAGGTTGTAGGTAAAAAGTACAGCAATGAGGAGGTAAATTTATATGTCCTCTTTTGATATCTGAAAATGTCGAAGGCATTTTTCAGATGTTCTTGGATTTCAGCTCCCAGAATTCCCCAGATAATATAATATAACTATATTTGCATAACAAGTTAACTGTGGTTTACTTAAACTTAATTACTGAAGTAGTCAAGTTGGATGGATTAAAACCAACCATCCACAATTTAGACTAGTGCATTATAGGAACACAGGAACATTGATAGGAATGAAGGAGAGAAATGATTCCTTAAGGTATTCTAAATTTAATCTGACTCATTCTTTTCAAAAGCCTACTCAGAATTGTTTAGCTGTTGGTTGAAATATACTGTGCAAAGCCAAATCATCATTTTTTAACAAACCAGCAACTTCTGACAAATTATGGTTAGTGGTCTCTGTTATGCAATGGCTCAGTGCAGTGGTGAAATCCTCTGAGCTTTGCTACCGGTTTGCTGTGCGCGCATGTGTGGTGTGTGCCAAACGCATGCTGTGTACACACATGAGCAGTGCGCACCAAATGCACGCTGCATGTGTGTGAATGCACAGTGCGCACCAAACGCATGCTTTGCATGGAAAAAGGCTTAAGAAGATAAGTAGAACAGCGAGGGGAGAGAACAGCTATGCCGCGTGATTTAGATTTGCTAGAAAGCAGGATTTCCTGCTTTCTAGCGAATATAAATCGTGCGGCACATCTGATCATCGGAAATACCTGTACAGATGAACCGGTAGCATTTTTTTTTACTACCGGTTCATCTGAACCGATAGCTCTTATTGCTACCGGTTCACCAACTGGTGCGAACCGGTAGCATTTCACCCCTGGCTCAGTGGCTAAAGACTAAGTGGCTAAAGCTTATCAGCTAGAAAGCTGACAGCCTGGGTTCGAGAACCAAGCATCACAAGGCAGGGTGAGCTTCTATTAGTTGCCCCACTGCCAACGTAGCAGTTCAAAGCATGCAAATTCGAGTAGATAAATAGGTACCACTTCGGTGGGAAGTTACATGAGCTTCAGCATATAATCATGCTGGCCACATGACCACCGAAGTGTCCACACTAGCTTCCTCAACTAAGAAATGAATATGAGACCATCCCCTAGAGTCAGGCTCAGCCTTTACCTAAACCAAGATCTGAAATGCTATTGTGAATAACAATGAATATTTGAGCAAGTAAGTAAGAATTTGGTACGTGCATTATCCTAAGCCATAATATGGTTTGTTTGTTTTTTTCCTTGGCATGTTATGTGAACTAAGCCATTATTTATTGGTTTAAAAAATGGTTTAAAAATTCTATCAAACTCTGCATGCTGGCTTGGAAATTCGGGAAATTGAAGTCCATATATCTTAAAGTTGCTAAGCTTGAGAAACACTGTTTTAAAGGGGGAAATATATCTCTTTAAAAAAACTAAACCATGATTAGTACAGATCTAATTAGATATTGCATGTGACATGCATTACTTCTCAAGGCTTCCTTGAGATCTCATCTCTGCTTTGTTGCTGGGCTGGAGATTTCTTTCCTGCTCTGCCACGTGCTATTCTTAAGAGTGCCAACATCATGCAATAAATGGAATGCTATTTACTAGTGAACTGCTATAAATGGCTAATTAAGCAGTATTTGGACTGATGACTCACCACTTGTACAGGCCTGATCTAGGAAATTGTAGGTCTTGTTAACTGGATATTCTTAGAATGCTTCTAAAGAGGTGTATATATTTTCATTTGTATAGGCTACTTTCTGCTGTGGAAAATATTGTGACTTTGGAAAAGATGCCTGCTGCTTTCTCACAGTTTGAACCATGTGCGGGTGGCTTTACAAATAGTGACAGGACTTTACAACTCATGCCCGGTAAGAAGCCCTTCAAACCATTCCCTGAGAGTATGTTGAGAATATAGCAATGCCTTAAAAACGAACATGTTGGGAAAGGAAATTTGGAGTTGCAAGCTTGTGCATGTAATTAGTAATCAGCTGAGTTTGAAGCAAAGGCTGATTGTGCCTAAGTATTTAGATTATGGTGGAGAAGAAAGCTGGAGAAAGAACAGCATGCTCTTTATTCATATTAACAAGGGAAGCTGGATCACTCATTATATAACGGACTCCATGTGAATAAAGACACATTAGATGAAAAGACCAAATTCACTTCTATTTTTTTAAGTGCTTCCAAATTGATATGCCAAAGAACATGAGGAGGAAGGCCTTTTCAAGGTGGAAGAAGGCTGCTGCCAGGAAGGAACAGGCTAAACCTTCCTCTTCTGATGCTACTGACCTTCTTTCAATTGAACCATTTCTACTCCATTTGATATTTCATTTAACAAAACTTATTTTTTACTACCAGATACTTCAAAAAGAAAAAAAAATCTAAATTGACATGAAAGAGATATTTTCAAAAAGTTGAAAACATAATTGTAAGTAAGTGTGCAGTCCAGGAATAGGCAATCAGTGGCCCTTCAGTTGTTATTAAATTAGAACTCCCATTGTCTTTTATCATTGACCATCCACAGAAGGGGAAAAACATCGAGATGGCAACTATTGCTGAACTATCATATCCCCACCTCTTTTAGCATGCATTATAAGAGACATAAAAGAAGCAGGGCTTCAACTGTAGGGCATGGTTTCTGTCTTGATTTTTTCAATTTTTCCTCCCCTACCCACCCAAGAGATGCCACTCTGAGAGTTCTAGTTTGATATATCTTGAGGACCATCTCTCATCTCCTCCATTCCCTGGGTAGTATATCTAGTGCTTACTGTGATTTAGAGATGTAACTTCAAAAAAAAGTGTTTGTGTGTCTATGTGCAATGACACCCAGTTTAGGTGATGGTCCATTCAATTGCTGGTGAGATTCCCAGATGCATGGTCCTTGAGACAATGTTCCTCAACTTTGGGCTCATAACCCAGTGGGATTCACTGCTGAGGGGAAATTAAATAAATAGGAAGTTATCCTGTCTCCAGCATTTCTGCTATTACATTACTCTAGCTCCTTTTTGATTATTTTTTAATTCTTAGCTAACTTTATAGTTTCAAAGAAATACAAAATAATGAAGATAAAAAGGATTTAAAAAAGGAAGGGAGGGAATCAAAAGAGGGAAAAGTTAGAAAGTGAACAGCAACAACAGAAAATAAATTTGACTCCTGACTTTCTTCAGTACAGATACAAATATATAATAATCTTTTACTCTCAATTAAAAGAACATACAAACTTAACAACTCCTTAAAACTATGCAGCATGATGATCGCTTATTCCAAATTTAATCATAGACCTTATACAAAATACAGTAGATAGATAGATGTAACATGCAACATATTTATAAACTTAACATATGTAATTATCAGATTCTAAAATCAAAACTTCATTTTTATCTTTCTCAAACAAGAAATTCAAAAGTGGTCTCCATATAGAAACAAAGTTAGATAAACTTTTATCTTTCATCAAAGTAATCAGTTTTGTCATCTCTGCCAGTTCCATTAGTTTCACAATCCACTTTTTCTTTGTGAGAATTTGCGTATCTTTCCACCTCTGTGCACATCAAAGTCTCTCCAGCATTGTCATATATAAAACGATTTTTTTCAATCTGCTTATCCATGATGCCTAAAAGAAAATCTTCTGGCTTCAATCCATTAGCTCATTGCTGTCTTGTTTAATGTGATACCTCCATATAGGAGGCTAAAAGCAATTGTCCTCACTTTTAAAAACAAAAAGAAATCACTCCTGCATGGAGTCAGGAGTGTAAGAGCTATGGAACAATGCAGGTAGGAAAAAAAATCAAGTACTTTTCATTTAGATATTAAGTTATGGAACATTGTAGAACCGAAGTTCTGTCAATAGAGCTGCCTACGTATAGATTTTCACTCTTGTGTTCTTGCTGGAATCTAAACGTCATCCGTGCTCCACAGACTTGAGGGGAAGATAAAAATAAATTGCAATCCCAACATAGGCTGTTGTGATTCAGTTTGGTTGGGCTAGTGAGAAGAGAGTTATTGATTATTGACCAGGAACATGTGTGTCCATGAAAAAAGATTACTCAATAGAGCTTCTAGCCAGCATTGCAAAGCACACTTTTTTGGATCAATTGTGTTGTGTAACTCGGTCAACAGTAAAGAGGGTAGCATTTGTTTTAATCTCCCCAACCCCCACCCCCACCCAATTTGTTATGGATTACATGACTCTTCATAGTACGTGAACATTCATCCACTGAAAAGTTTTTACATTTCTCAAGCTGATCCAAAACTAAAATCAACACCTACCCATCCCCCAAAATTAGCGATAGAGAGCAGTTAAAAAATCAAGACTCTCCATTGTGGAAATCATGTGGCAGAGGCCTTATCATTATACATATTTCTTTTGCTTTGCCAATATGTAGTGTTGTTGGTTTTTTTTTTGTTTAAAAAAAGTTCTTCAGTTCAAATGACAATGGAACTGGCAACTAAAGGCAACAGATCTGTGCCTTGTAATTTAAGGTTTTTAAAAGTGTAGCTGCAGAAGGGCTGAAGGAGAAGGGAATCTCACTGGTTTTAATAACACTAGGTGGGAAATACTGGCTTTTAATTTTATTTATCAAATTTATACACTTCTCATCTCATTGTATAAGTGACTCTGAATGGCTTATAAATAAAAATACCATAAAAATCCTTACAAACAATGTACAAAGTTTAAAAAGTGCAGAGAGCATCCTCAAGGCACCAAGTCCTACAGGATTGCCCACCACTTTGGGTAGTCTTAAACACTCTTTTGGAAGGCCAGAAAAGTGAGGGCCAGCCTCACCTCTGGGCAAGATGTTCTATAGCAGGGGTGACAAAATTGTGATGGGTTCTGCAACCCAACAAGACAGACAGACTTCAGAGGATAATTAGAACTGCAGAAAAAACAATTGCTACCAACCTGCCTTCCATTGAGGACCTGTATACTGCACGAGTTAAAAAGAGGGCTGTGAAAATATTTACAGACCCATCACATCCTGGACATAAACTGTTTCAACTCCTACCCTCAAAACGACACTATAGAGCACTGCACACCAAAACAACTAGACACAAGAACAGTTTTTTCCCAAACACCATCACTCTGCTAAACAAATAATTCCCTCAACACTGTCAAACTAGTTACTAAGTCTGCATTACTATTAATCTTCTCATTGTTCATATCACCCATCTCCTCCCATTTATGACTGTATGACTGTAACCTTGTTGCTGGTATCCTTAAGATTTATATTGACTGTTTCCCTATGACTATCATTAAGTATTGTACCTTATGATTCTTGACGAATGTATCTTTTCTTTCATGTACTCTGAGAGTGTATACACCAAGACAAATTCCTTGTGTGTCCAATCACACTTGGCCAATAAAGAATTCTATTCTATTCTATTCTATTCTATTCTATTCTATTCTATTCTATTCTATTCTATTCTATTCTATTCTATTCTATTCTAAAACATGTTGTCGTGCAACTTCCCCCCTTTGCTAAAACGGGGTGGGCGTGGCCAGCATGTGACACATCTGGCCTGCGGGCTGCAAGTTTGACACCCCTGTTCCACAGAGAGGGAGCAACAGTACTTTTGTAACTCCTGCACCTCAAATTATTTGCCTAATAAACCTGGAATGGTTTTCATTGGAGAAATGGCATTAGAACCAGTCCTTTTTTTCCAGTACTGGGACCTTGACTGGTTTACAGTACTTCCTACCTGTAACTGCTATTGAACAGGAAAACAGTAGGCAATCTAATCAGGAATGCTTTCTATGTGGTACCTAATTGTGTTCCCATTCTCTTGCCTTTGAAGTAGCTGCTGCGTTTCCAGGAAATAAATAACCTAGTTTGTATTCAGTAATGGGAAGGAAGCATATTATGAATGTCAGGGAGCTCTTTGCTTTAATCACAAGGAATCTGTTAGTGTCAGCAGATTTTTTTCTGCCAAAAAAACCTCATGATTCTGTCAGAAAGTAACTTAAAAAGTGGGTGAGTAGGAGAAACCTTCTTCCATCCAGTACAAATCTACCAAGAGAGGGAAAAGATGTGGTATGAAGAAGTTTAATGTCGAGGTGTGACGTTTTTAAACTACTTGTTGAACATTTCCATTTCTTATACATTTAGCTTCCTTCAGAATGCTAGCAAGTTATATGTTAAATGGTATTGTCATTTCTCCATGAATAGCTATCTCTCTATTTGTTATCAAGACAAATTATGCATCAATATTTGAATATAGTAGCATTTTTCTATCCAAGTGTTCGTAGTATAATCACTAAGTTAAATTCCCATGTTTTTAGGGAGTGCCTTGGCAGGCAGGCAGTTTTATCAACTGTAAACCTTATTGTGTATTTGTAGCCTAAATATTTTCTGAAGGCCAAACTAGAAATCACCACACACATCCTTTTGTTCTTTTCCCTGAAGGCATTTTTACTGTGTGACTGTACTGTACATCTTGAGCTCTAGTGACGATGCATAAAATTGGGTCGTTTAATTTTATTTATTCTGGCCCAGCCTCACTACTAGGTAGAGGGTTCCTGGGTCTCAGGCCACAAAAGCTAGTAAAGGCAAGCTTTTACTCTCTTTCAATCCCCAGCTAGACCAGATCTCCTAAACTAAGATGTTGTTTCAGGCATAGTGGTACATTGGTACTCAACTGCTTTGAAACTCATCAAATATGGTGCTGAATGCATTTTGACGTGAACATTTAATTAAGGACGAGTACTAAGGTACTACTGTATCATAAAGAGCAATAGTCCAATGGAGAAATTCATTTCAACCATTTATCCATCCGATTTCAAAATATGGGATGAAAAAATGATGCTATCTGTGTCTCAATCAGTCAAAAGTCTTAGGCCTATGTTCCTATAAAGAAGTATAATATATGAATAATAATGAATTTAAGGGGCAGATCCAAAAGTCTTGTTGGTACATTCTCTGCTCAATACTAGAAAAATGAAAAAAAGTTGGAAAGCGAAAGAAATTTGTTCCATTTGTGAATTTACTTAATTTGCACTGCTCAACGTTCTATTTGAGTTGGGAAGCAGAATTTGAGATTCAAGTCTCCCTTGATTACAGAGCTAAGAATGTACCAAATGTATATGAAATGTCATGCAGATTTAAAAAAAACCAAAAACTTGAAAATAGGTCAGAATAAATGTAAGATTATAAAAACAGAATAAAATTATACTTGACCGAACCATACATCCTTATAACTGATTACATTTTTCTCCCCTAGTCCCACATACTCCAAAATTACAGCCTCAGGATCCAAACTCGGCTACCAGCACATCGATTGCTGTCTATTGGACTGTGAATGAAGATGATCTCACTGATTTCTTTCAGGTTTATTGTATGGAAGAATCCCTGGGAAGCAAAGAGCAAAGTGGTGTGTGAGTGTTTCTGAATGGGGATGGGTGAGGGAAGGAGAATTTACAGAAGTGTGCTGTTTCAGATAGTGAGTTATAGTGAATTAGTTATCTGAAGAATTAAGAGCTGTCTCCTTAAGAGATTGCATTGTGGGAGATGTAGAGAGAGATTGCATTATGGGAAATGTAGTCCATGACATGTGACCATCTGTGTGCCTGATTGGCCACTGAGGCTCCCTGCCTGGGTGCAGAACAAAGACCCGGCCATTTTGAACTACCACAGAAGAGAGAAGCATGCTTTCTAAACAGGGGGGTAGAACTACCATCATTTTACACTAGGAAATGGGATAGATTATGAAATACTTGGATGAACCTCACCTTGACTCACCTTGATTGTAAGTCTGTGTGTTTGAGGATACCCGAAATAAATATAATTTATTTTATTTATTTATTTTATTGAATTTGTATACCGCCCTACTCCCGAAGGACTCAGGGCGGTGAACAGCCATAGAATAAAACATATAAATACAAAATTTAAAATAGAATAAAACGAATTAAATCATTTGGCTGAACAAATTTAAAACCCCAATAATTTAAAACCAAATTTAAAATTTTCATTTAAAAAGGAGAAAGACTTAGGTCAGGCCAGCCTGATGAAACAAGAAAGTCTTGAGCGCGCGACAGAAGGTACGCAGATCCGGGATCCTCCGTATCTCCAGGGGGAGCTCGTTCCAGATAGTAGGTGCCCCCACAGAGAAGGCTCTCCCCCTGGGGGCCGCCAGTCGACATTGTTTGGCCGACGGCACCCGGAGGAGCCCCTCTCTATGGGAGCATACTGGTCAGTGGGACGCTACTGGTGGTAGCAGGCAGTCCCGTAAATAACCAGATCCTAAGCCATGGAGCGCTCTAAAGGTGATAACCAAAACCTTGAAGCGCACTCAGAAGACCAGTGCAGCTCGCGCAGGAGAGGTGTTACATGGGAGCACCACGTCGCTCCCGTTACCACCCGCGCGGCCGCACTCTGCACCAGTTGGAGCCTCCAAGTGCTCCTCAAGGGGAGCCCCATGTAGAGAGCGTTACAATAGTCCAGACGGGAGGTGACGGGGGCATGAGTGACCGTGCATAAGGAGACCCGATCTAGAAAGGGACACAACTGGCGGATCAGGCGAACCTGATGAAAAATCCTCCCGGTCACGGCCGTCAAGTGCTCTTCTAAAGACAGCCGTGAATCCAGGAGGACACCCAAGTTGCGAGCCCTTTCCGTGGGGGCCAATGATTCGCCCCCAATAGTCAGCGATAGCACCAGCTGACTATATCGGGACGTTGGAAACCACAGCCACTCGGTCTTGGATGGGTTGAGCCTGAGCCTGTTTCTCCCCATCCAGATCTGTACGGCCTCCAGGCACTGGGACATCACTTCAAGGGCATCGTGGGGGTGGTCTGGGGTGGAGATGTACAGCTGGGTGTCGTCAGCGTACTGGTGGTACTCCACCCTGAAACCACGGATGATCTCACCCAGCGGCTTTACATAAATGTTGAACAAAAGGGGCGAGAGGACCGATCCTTGTGGCACCCCACATATAATCTGCATGAAAACCTGTTTGCTAGAGTTTATCTGCCTGTTCCCAGTGGAGCCAGATGCCTGGGGAACAGAACAAGAAGCAAAATAACAATAATATCAAGTGTAGCTAAACCACCTTGAATATTCTTAGAGATTGTGAGAAGAATTGTGTTTTTTTGCATCAGGGACTCAGCTTGTTAGTAATTTCACACTAGGAAGAATTAAGATTAAGAATCTTAATTAAGAATTAAGATTGTTGTTAAACAGGATTTTTACTGCTATTAGATTTAAGGAGGGGTTTTTTTTCCCACATAGTCTGCTGTTTATAAGTTCAGTTATTCTATGTTACTATCAATGAGCACAGGTAGTCCTGGATTTACAACTGTTCATTTGGTAACCATTTGAAGTTACAACAGCACTGAAAAAAATGCCTTATGACCATTTTTCACACTTATGACAGTTGCTGCAACCCCATGGCCACGTGATCAAAATCCAGATGCTTGATAACTGGTTCATATTTATGACAGTTGCAGTGTCCCAGGGTCATGTGATCCTCTTTTGTAAACTTCTGACAAGCAAAGTTAATGGGCAACTCAGATAAACTTGACAGACATGCTGCTAATTTAACAACTTCAGCGATTCACTTAACAACTGTAGCAAGAATGGTCATAAATCGGGGCAAAGTTGACTTAATGCATATTTCACTTGACAAGAGAAATTTTGGGCTCAATTGTGGTCATAAATTGAGGACTACCTGTATTTGTTTGTAGAAATTGCATTTTCTTGCTATTATGAATACAGACTACAAAGAAAATACAATAAAAATAAATACATTTAGCAAATATATGATGGTTCAGAAAGAGATCATGTCAGAGGCATGGGATTGTTTGGTTCCCCTCCCTACTACCATGTTTTCCCGAAAATAAAATCTCCCCGGGATAATAAGCCCAATTGGGCTTTTGAGCGCATGCGCTAAAATAAGCCCTCCCCCAAAATAAGCCATTCCTGAAAATATTTAAGCGCCTGCGCAGCTGGTCCCCACCATTTCCTCTGGTTAGGGTTAGGGAGACAGAGGTGGAAATCAGGTAAGACAGCAAGAGGAGCTCCGTCTTGCCCCAAGCGCCCCAAAATAATAAGACCTCCCCCGAAAATAAGGCCAAGCGCTTATTTCGGGGTTCAAAAAAACATAAGGCAGGTTGTTATTTTTGGGGAAACATGGTAGTTTTTATGGCTGGTGGGATCCTGACCTTGGAAAGCCCCCCAAAGGGAAGTTCAGTTCTCATATTGATCTCAATCCAGTGGAGAATTTAAATCAATCCAAACATAGGTGTGTTTAAATTCTTTTGTGTGTATGTGTTATTTCCGATAGAAGAGGAACATTAAAAAAATACATCAAGTGGATGGAGAAATACTTTGTAATATGACCCAGGTTCATTTCTTCCCTTTCCAACTGCTATGTAGAATTTTTCTGCCAATCTACTCTTGTTTGGTCAAATGTTTCACTTGCTGCTGTATGAAGCTAAAGGGCATTTTCCATGGTTTCTTGCATGTGTACATGTTACTTTTATTTGCTGTAGGCTTTGTTGAAGAATATCGTGTCATTGTGAAAGAGAGTAACTGCATTTTGGAGGATCTGGAACCCGGTCACTGCTACAGCGTATGGGTCATGGCCATAAATTATGCAGGATGTAGTTTTCCCAGTGACAAATCCATATTTAGAACAGGTAAGCTGCTTGGTCTTATAAATAGTTTTTTCTCTCTCAATATTTACAACTGTGCCCAGGGATGAAATGCTCCCGGTTCAGATCGGATCGCCCGATCCGGTAGCGATGGCAGTGGGTGGTTCGGAAAACCGGTAGCAAAAATCCCTGCCCACCCCCATGCCCAGCTCAGCCGCGTGATCATCAGAGGCTTTTTTTTTAACTTTTAAAAGCATTTTTTCTACAACCTCTTCGGCCAAAATAATGCTTTTAAAAGTAAAAAAAAAAAGGTTGGCCACGCCCACCCAGTCACATTACCCCCACCCCCACCAAGCCACGCCCACAGAAGAGGTATTAATAAATTTTACATTTCACCACTGGCTGTGCCCTAAGGAAGTACAGAGGACATATAATAAAATGGCTAAAATAAGAAATTTTTGGGAAGGATATATTCTGTATCTACACCTGCATGGTTGTAATATAGATAAGACTGTCTTAGTCTTAGGTTTTACTCACATGGTATTGTCTCATCTGTTAGAGTTTATAACATGAAAGTCTCCTCTGATTATTTCCTTTTATTAAACTTATATAGAATTGGGAACATACCCAGCCTTAAATGTGATAATTAGGATTAGAGGAAGTGTTAAGAAGTTACAGGTTACAGTTTATGCATTTTAATTGGTAATTGGTATTATTGTTGTTATCTATTGTATAAAATTATTGCAATATTTATATTAAGAACAACAAATAAAAATAAAGAGGAGCAGAAAGAATAAAAATATATAAAATTACCTACATCTGAGGCATTGGGCTGCTGAAAAAGATTGAAAGCTGGTAGCTTCACTTTAATATACCTACTACTATTTGATCATCCTTCCTTAGAACAGTCATTAACGTAGCAAACTTAGCAAGGAGAGGAGAGAAATATCATAGAGATAGTCATCACTTAACAATGGTAATTGGATCAGAATTCCATCACTAAGCAATGCCGTAGTAAAGTGTGATATCATGTGACTGCACCACTAAGCAACAGCTGTATTTCTGTCATTAAGCATAACATCACATGGTTGCCATTGACTTTGTTTGTCAGAAGCCAGCAGTGAAGGTCACAAATGACAATCAGTGACTGTGGGATATTGCAACCATTTTAAGCAATAGGATGGTCCTAAGCACCATTCAATTAGCACCATCAGTGGTGGAATTCAATTTTTTTTACTACTGGTTCTGTGGGTGTGGCTTGGTGGGCATGGTGTGGCTTGGTGGGTGTGGCAGGAGAAGGATCCTGCAAAATCTCCATTCCTACCCCACTCCAGGGGAAAGATACTGCAAAATCTCCATTCCCACCCCATTCCAGGGGAAGGATACTGCAAAATCTCCATTCCCACCCCACTCCAGGGGAAGGATACTGCAAAATCTCCATTCCCTCCCTACTCGTGGGGGAAGGATATTGCAAAATCTCCATTCCCACCCCACTCTGGAGCCAGCCAGAGGTGATATTTGCCAGTTCTCTGAACTACTCAAAATTTCCGCTACCGGTTCTCCAGAACCTGTCAGAACCTGCTGAATAGCACCCCTAGCACCATGTTAAATTCTAATGGCCAGTGAACAAGTGATAATTAAGAGATGACTACCTGTATGAAAATAAAAAGCAAACAATCAAGTGCTGATGGCAAAGTTCTAATAGGTTAGGAGAAAATTGTCTGAATTTTTGACTTCCGGTGTATACAAACCAGTGATTGTAGCCTTCCTTGTGATTCAGCAAATATCCCCCTATATTCATAGCTCCTCCAACTCCTGAAATAAAATCAGAAGACTGCACTATCTGCTGGGACACCGCTACTATTCGATGGAGCACCAGCAACCTGAAAGCAACAGATTCCTTCACACTTGAGTACTGCAGACAGTATTCCCCTGAAGGAGAAGGCCTCAGGTCAGTCTCTTGTGCTTTGAAGAATAGATAAAACGCAGTGGGGGCTAGACAGCTTTTCCCAGGTTGTGTTTATGTCAGAGCAAGAGTGTTTTCTTTTCTGGATTTTCCTACAGAAAATAAGAAATCTATTTTTGCAGAGTTGTGGCCATTCTTCCAGGTGTTAATCTTAGGGTCTATACTCCGTAAATCACAAATACCTGTATTTGTGCTAGCAGTGAACAAAAATAGTTAGAAACTAAGACCTTCGCTCCTCCCCCTTATTTGGATCACATCCAAGCTATTTGGAGAAGAATGAAAAGGACAGGGGCCCAATTTGATGGGATTAGGACTCCTTTGTTCTTTCCCCATGTATTTAAAAATATCCAGTCTTTCTTTTGCAAACCAAGATTCTTCAAAGCTTGGCAGATATAATGAGTTGATGCTTTTCCTAGCTCCTCAAATTACATCATAGCTTTGCAAGTCCTTAGCTCTGTTTTGGTCACCCAGGAATTAATTTGCCATACCATTAATTAAATTATTAATTAAATTATTAATTAACTAATTAAAATGGCAAAATATAAATCTTCTTATGTTTCACCACTACCACCACCACCACTACTCATTCTGGGGGGAAAAAAGATATTCAGGATGTTAATGACCACAAAGATAGATTATCACAATTTTTTTCTTAAACTCTACTTCAGAAAGATTCTGGTTGTGATTGGAGACATGTAGGTAGAAAATAGGGAAGAAGAGGGGGATTATTTGTAGGTGCCAAAAAACCACAGAGTTATATTCTTTCTGTCTTTTTCCTTCTTGTGCTTGCTGCAGTCTTTCAAAAATTATTGTAGCCAATCACTTCCTAAAAGCTCAAGGAAGTATCCTGAAAAACTGCCAGAATTTGTCACGCTTTGATAGTACAATGGAGCTATTCTCTGCCAGCAGCACTGAAAGTGTGTAGCTCTATTTTATAGAATTTTCTACGCAGATAATCTGTAACACTTCAAATGTTTTTAAAGATTGATTTTCTCATTTCTCCTCCAGGATAGAAATATCAGGATTTAACCGTTTGTGATACATTAAAATACATTAAATTCTTGCGATCAGAAGAACTAAGTGAACCGTTTATTCTTTTTGCCAGAAGCAATTTCTTATGTTATATTATCTAATCTAGCCTTCCCCAGCTTGGTGTCTCTACAACGGGTTGGAAAATAGCTCACAGATTGGTCAGTCAATATAGTCAAGGAAAGTTGATTTGATCTCACAGTTATTATAAGGTTCCTGCAGATTTTGGAACACAATTCTCATCATTCCTGACCACTGACCAATCTGTACCCAATTTTGCCCTCCTTCCTACCAAAGTATAATGTCTACTCCAGAATGTAAGAGTTGATCTATTTATATTCAGAACCTGTCCTGAATTAGAATAAACAACTAGCAATTTATTACTTTCTTATTAAACTCCAGAATCTGCTGCCTAATGCAGTGGCTTTATGCTATCTGCTGGACTGATCAACCCTGTTTTAAGAATGAAATTGGGTTGAAAACGTAACCTGCTCTCTGCTGCTTCTGGTTATATCAACAATTAAAAATTAAGTCCATCTCCTTGTGCATAATTTTAGATTATTTAGATTTCCTTGGCCAATAGAATCATATCATGCTGTATCTTGCCATTGGCTGTGGCCAGCAATCTGATTTTTGAGTCAAATTCAGTGCTGGATTTAATCATTTAAGCCCCACACAATTTCACACTAATTATCTGAAGATGAACTTCCTTTGCTGTCCTTTTCCTGTGCCCCAACAATAAGATGCATTTGGTTGCTGTAAAAAAAATGGTCTTTTCATTTCCTATCAGCTGTTGGAAGAAATATCCTTCTGGGTTCAGTTCCAAGTGGGGAAGAAAGACACTGGAAACATGGAGATTGCTTGGAAAGATGGTTTTTAATGGTAGACAGGACAACATGGTTTGAGGTCCTGGGGGAAAAAAGCAGAGATGCTGAGAGTGCCTGAGTTTTATACCCACTCTGGGCTTTTGAATTTGAGTTTGTATTCTGACTGATTGTCAGACTCCCATGCGGCCATGCAGGGGCAACTCTGTAGGCTGTCCTGAGTCCCAAGCTTGGTTGACTCTTGCTGGGTGATGATGTAATGAAAGGGCTTTGGGATTCCTATTATGGCTCTGCCTGAAGGAGGTAGATCTTTGTTATGTAGAATAGACTGGCCCAGACCTTGATGGCCCATTGATAAAGGTGGAGGGTGGGCTGAGTTTCTGCCTCCCTTTTAGGGGAAATATTCTGCCCTTTTAATATTTCCCAAAATATCTCATTTTTCTAGGAGAGGGGTGGGTGCTAACTTCCTACACAGCAACAGAAGATCTTTTAATTCTCCTGATCAATTTAAATAAAGTCCCACTCTTTGTATGTTCACATGCCTTCAAAGCATGCCTTTGAAAATCACCTTGACTTTTGTTTTATCTTGCATTCAGTGACCTGCTGTCTCTTTCCTCATGGGTGCTATATGTGTGCCAGTGCCATCTTTGCCCCCTCCCCCATCCTATTTTCACCTTGGATTTTAAACAGAACACTTTTTTGATTCTTTACCTGCTAGATTCAGAGGTACTATACATCAGGGGTCTCCAACCTTGGCAACTTTAAGATTTGTGGAGTTCGACTCCCAGAATTCGTCAGCCAGCAAAGCTTTGCTGGCTGAGGAATTCTGGGAGTTGAAGTCCAGAAGTCTTAAAGTTGCCAAGGTTGGAGACCCCTGCTATACATAAATATAGATAACATGGTGTCATGTTATCCAGGCTCCACCCAGGGGTAAAATTCAAAATTTTTCCCTACCGGTTCTGTGGGAGTGGCTTGGTGGGCGTGGCAGGGGAAGGATATTGCAAAATCTCCATTCCCACCCCACTCGGGGGCCAGCCAGAGGTGGTATTTGCCGGTTCTCCAAACTACTCAAAATTTCCGCTACCGGTTCTCCAGAATCTGTTAGAACCTGCTGGATTTCACCCCTGGCTCCACCCCTTCCTGCTTCTGTGAAGGGGTGTATGTGTGTCTTTTAAAACGATGTCAAACAAGCACAACCTCTTATATGCTTCTGTGAAGAATGGGTGTGACGTTACTTAACCCCCACAGAGTGTGTACCTCAGTAATGTGCTCCTTCAAATCATTTTGATCCTTGAATCCATATTAGAATCCACATTAATAGTCTGTGAAATGGTGTTTGCTATATTGAAATGTGCCATTCTGTCATCCCTATGCGGGAGAGAGAGCTGCATGAAATTGCTTGCTTCCATTCACCGGAAGCCTAGGTTTGTTTTCTGTGCTGGCTCCATATGTTGGCACTTCCTCAGCGATCTGGAAGAGCAGATTTGTTGTGTGAAAATATTGTGGATGTGGAATGGTGTGTAGGAGGCTACTGATACCAAAGTGCCAAGCCCTGTGCAATGTTACTGCTCTAATCTTAACTAAGGCTGTGGTTCAAGTGATTTCGCTCAGAAGAGAATCCAGAAATTGGACCCTTGATTTTTAAAAATATCTACCAATGAACTCTAAAAATTTCCTTTGCCTTTGATAAAAATCTAGGCAGAAGAGAATGCAGTTTTAACTCCTGGAAAGTACCAAGTTGGCAGAGAGTAATGTAAGGTTTGGATAGACTTCTACGAAGGTTTAGAGCAGAGGTCTTCAAACTTGGCAGCTTTAGGAAGTCCACAAGTCTTAAAGCTGCCAAGTTTGAGGACCCCTGATTTAGAGTACTGTACGGATACAGCACCTCTACTGTGATAATTCTTCTTACCCAACATTATATTCTGCATCTTCTGTTCATTCACCTGGTAAACGATGCTGGTACGGCTCTTTCAACATAAAAAAGACTAAAATCTTATTAAATTCTTAACACTCATCCCTAATTCAGAATATCAGACTTCCCAAGAGATGATGTTGCAAGATTTCAGCCATTTTTCTTAAAAGTTGAAGGTCTACAGATCCAGGGGTGTTGCAAATAGACGGATAGCTCCCCCAGGTGGTTATGTTCTCCTTCCTGAACGTTCCTTCTATTCCACCAAGCCAAGTTAAAAAAAATCACGTATTTACTTTACAGCATTGATTTTGTGAGAAGAGTGGTCAAGCCAATTATAAAGAGCTTTAGCTCAGATGAAATCCTAAAAAGAATCTGGGAGTCTTTGAAATTCACCCTGGCTAAAAATCATTCTTTTTGAAGTTAGTGTATAATTCAACATTTTTTTTAAAAAAATAGAGGGAGGTGATGATGAACAATTAGAGAAAATTTATTCTAGTTGCATAGCGACCAATCCTTCATAAGGCATGTGGAAGTAAGGGGATTTTTGGACAATTTACAAACAATGTGTAGTGCTGAAAAACAAAAGCTATGGAGGAAATAATAGATGAATCCCTCTGGATTTTTCAGTTTTTACTGCTTTTGGTGAAATCCTGGCAAGAAAAAAAAACTAGAGCTTTCAAAATGGGGATCAGACAGTGGTTTTTAACATTGTTAAAGGGGTGAGTGTAGGATCTGATTAGCCATACTGTGAACTCTCATTTATTTCTCTCACTGCTGGTTCATCCAATAGGAGGCAACAATACAGAATTTTTTAAAATCTGTTAATCTAAAGTAAATGTCTACACATGCTTTGGAAAACAATCCCTGCCGTGTTTTTTAAAAAAATTATTAAGTTTGAGAACAAAAATAAAAAAGAGCAAGTATCAGTTTCAGGGCTTGCCTGATATTACTAAAACATTATTATAAACTGAAAAGTAGTACCTCCAATACAAGATGTAGTCTACCTGTTTTTTTAAAAAACCTAAAAATAGATTTCTTGTAAAATACATGTGGGGGGAAAGGAATATGGACTAACTTGCATGAGAAGTTTCTTCTTTGCTCTTTATTGATAAAGAACTATTGGTGAAGATCATATCCACAGCCCTATGCTACGAACCAATGAAGATTTTGTCACTCTAATGCTGCAAAATAGTTTCTTTGACTACCCCATGAACACAATCAAGCTCTGATCTTGATAAATTCCATACACTTCAGATATAGCCTAGGAGAATATACAAGAATATAAACTGTATGCAAGAATATACAATATACATATATACAGTATAGTAGACGAGGTTATTTATATTCTATTGGTATCAGAATCCTGTGGCATGAAAAAGAAACATTAAAGATTCTATTTTGAAGATTATGTAATCTAAAATGAGATTTGGAAATTATTTCTGTTGTAACTAATGAATGTCATGCTTGTACTGCTTTCTTATGATAACATGAACTCCTTTATTGGTTCGATTTATATGCTGCCCTTCTCCGGAGACTCAGGGCGGCTTACAATGCGTTAAGCAATAGCCTTCATACTTTTGTATATACTTGCTTAGTAGGGCTTTCGGCCCCCCCAAGCGGTGTTCTTTTTTATACAAAGTCAGCTTATTGCCCCCACAATCTGGGTCCTCATTTTACCTACCTCGGAAGGATGGAAGGCTGAGTCAGCCTTGAGCCTGGTGAGATTTGAACTCGCAGTAATTGCAGGCAGCTGGCAGCTAAGTGCTACTTAACAGCACTTTAGTCCGCTGCATCACCAAGGCTCTTAAAGGCTCTTTATCTTATGTTGGTAAAAGTATAAGGCTAATTGCAATTGAGCTTTTGCTTTAAAGGTGTAGCCTCGGGATTTTGCCAAATCCCACTAATTCCTGCTACCGCTATCCAGTTGATCAGCATCATTAGCTGATTATTGAGACACTAGTGAAATATTACAATAATGATATTGCATGATAGTAAACACTTTCTGAAATTACTTTGCATATTGCATTATGGAGCTCCACAAATTCCATCTAATATAAACTTTGTAGTCATTCCATATACAACTTCAATCTCAATTATTACAGAATCTCTTTATTTCAGAAATTATTGGGAAAAATGCTGTGTGTGTGTTTGTGTGTGGTGTGTGTGTGTGTGTGTGTGAGAGAGAGAGAGAGAGAGAGAGACAGACAGACAGACAGACAGACAGACAGACAGACAGACAGTCGGAGATGCTATGGAATGGTTTAATAATTGGAAATTATCTATTGGGAATCATGTGGAGGACAAGTATTTGGTCTCAATTTTGTTCTTCCTGTTTGCCATAATGAAAATACTCACTAATTCACTCCTTTCTAAGTTTTTGGCATGTTCAGCCAATACTGTAATATTAACATTATACATTATACATATACAATATTGTAATATTAACATTATGAGCCACGGTAGCGCAGTGGTTAGAATGCAGTACTGCAGGCTACTTCTGCTGACTGCCGGCTGCCTGCAATTTGGCAGTTTGAATCTCACCAGGCTCAAGGTTGACTCAGTCTTCCATCCTTCCAAGGTGGGTAAAATGAGGACCCAGATTGTTGGGGGCAATATGCTGACTCTGTAAACTGCTTAGAGAGGGCTGTAAAAAGCACTGTGAAGCGGTATATAAATCTAAGTGCTATTGCTATACAAAAACACACTTCTACCTCCTTCCTTATCTTTTCCATAGGAAAAAGGATCCAGCTTCTGTCATTTGTTGCTCTTTTTTGAAGATCGGGCAGAATTTTGAAGGGGGAAAAAATAAGACTTTTTAATATGTCAACCAGGGGTGAAATGCTCCTGGTTTGGACCAGATCAGGTGATCCGGTAGCGATTGTAGCAGGTGGTTCGGAGAACCGAGGCTCTGCCCATCCGCCCGGGTGTTGTTACTTCCTGCTTTTAAAAGGTAAAAAAAAGGCTCTGACAATCGCCCGCCACCGCTGTGATCGTCAGAACCTTTTTTTTTTACCTTTTAAAAGCATTTTTTTACAACCTATTCGCCCGAATAGGTTGTAAAAAAATGCTTTAAAAAAGTAAAAAAAAAATTGGCCACACCCACCCAGTCTCATTACACCCCCCACCAAGCCACGCCCACAGAACCAGTTGTAACAAATTTTACATTTCACCACTGATGTCAACCATACATTATTTCTGCTTTTTCAGATCTATAGCTGGAATTCGACAGCCTGAAATAAAGGTTCACCTACAATCAAACGTAAACTATTTCTTCTATGTGAGAGCCGTTAATACCTTTGGAATAAGTGAACAAAGTGAAGCTGCTCTGATTTCAACAAAAGGTAGGTAAACTAAGGAAAACTTCACAACAAATAGAGAAAATGTACAAATATTAATATGTTTTCTTGCATATAGCATACTTTTTTGGTTTCAAAAAAAAGCTGTATATTCAGATGAAGGACCAATAGCCATATGATTGAAACATATTAAAGTGTAGTTAAAGTGTAGTTCAGGTACTTTTGGGAAGACATTTGATGGATTGATGAAACCATTTGCTTAAAATCAGACCTGTGGAACTTTGGAATTATCATGCTAAAACTGTCTATTCTACCCCCCACCCCCCTTGAGACACAAACATGTAGAATTGGCTTATGTCAGCCAGTATCTCACCAGAGCCTTGGAGGTTAGAATGGTTAGAATCAGTGGTGGGTTGTCCCCGGTTCGGAATGGTTTGCAAGAACCGGTAGTAAAACTGGCGGGAGGCCCCACCCACCGCCCCGGATGCTGTCATCAGCAATCTGTGCATACCATTGCAAACCGGTAGTAAAGGTAAGTAGAACCCACCCCTGATTAGAATGCAGTATTGCAGGCTAACTCTGCCCACAACCAGGAGTTTTATGCTGAGCGGCTCAAAGTTGACTCAGCCTTCCATCCTTCCGAGGTCAGTAAAATGAGGACCCAGATTGTTGGTGGCAATACGCTGACTCTGTAAACCACTTAGAGAGGGCTGTAAAAGCACCATGAAGCAGTATATAAGTCTAAGTACTATCTTCCACTTGATGGAATATTTGATGCAAAGACTGATAGGAAGTTTGCATTTAGTAAAGATGTGTAGAAATACAAAGAAGCGATAAAAGGCTGCTCCATATGTTACATTTGATAGTAAATTGATAAAATGTATAAAAGTATACTATCTTCCCTATATTTAGAATACAAAAAAGAATTATGGCAAAAAAAAAAAATCTCTGGAGAACAATTGAAGGCTAGAGTATACAAGGCAGGCTTGGTTTTAATGTTTAACCTTGACTGTTTGGCTTAATTGTATTGTGCACAATAGCTATATGAGCAGAAGGAAGTTTATGATGGGTCATTTCATTGTATTGGGAGCATAAATAGTATTTGAAGGTTGTGACTCTGCAAAAGATTGGATTAATTGCCTTCCTGGATGCTGTTATTCCAGACATTTATCAAAAGAAAATCAAACACATATTCTATATGAGTTGGTAGTGAATACTATATTGGTTGCTTTCCAAGTACTTTGTTTCAGAGGTAAATAGGTTAATGGTCGCTGATTCAATTGGCTGTGCTTTCAGAGATTGTAAGAATCTTTCATAGTGAAATGAGGAAAAAAAATTGATAGATATATTTCATCAGCTTATACCTAACATTCCTAAATCAATCTTGGTTTTCCTACCTTTGTTACCCACAACTATGGCCCCATCTGGTTTTCCTCTAATTATTTCTGTAGCAATAGGATTCTTTATACGCAAGCCATTTGTCTTTAAAAAAAGATCTTGTTTCTAGAGATAGGTGTGCAAATTAAATCCTCATAAATTTCGGTGGCAGATATTTTGTGAAATTCTCCAAATAGGTTTCTGAGTTAAAATGCAGCTCCTTCCCTAGTAGAAACTCCAGTTGTCAATTTTTCTCTGGACCAAAGTCAAGGTGTAATGAATAAGTGTGTTTGAGGGGGAGTAACTATTTCTGATTTATATGAAAAAACAAATCAATAATGAAGATGTTTGTGTTTTGAAAGGAAGCATATAAGAGGGAAAAGGTAAGGTCTCCTTTTAGCTGAACTGAACTCCTGGTAACTTCATGGACTTGGAGATGGACCTTGTCATTATCCCTTCTTTGGGATGCTTTTTCAACTTCCCAGGCTTAATATTTACATTTTTTAAAAGTGTACTTTGTGTACATTTACATGTAAAAAGCCTGATTGGGAAACTTATATATTGTAAAAATAATACTACATTGAGATGGTATTGTGCACATTTACATTTTTAAAAAATCTGTGGAAAATTGTGCACATTAGCTCTGCAAATTAGGCTAAAATGCAAATAGAAAAGGAAGCACTTGTGATTCTTATGAATCATTTTTTAGTTGCCTTTCTCATGTAGGATAGGAAAATAGACCAAATTTATCATGATCCTTTTCAAATCTTAGTCTGGGAAAATGTGATGGTTTTTCCATTGACTTGAATAAAAAAAAATCAGAAATAGCCGCCGTGGTGCAGTGGTTAGAATGCAGTACTGCAGGCTACTTCTGCTGTCTGTCAGCTGCCTGCAATTTGGCAGTTCAAATCTCACCAGGCTCAAGGTTGACTCAGCCTTCCATCCTTCCGAGATCCGAAAAATGAGGACCCAGATTGTTGGAGACAATATGCTGACTCTGTAAACTGCTTAGAGCGGGCTGTAAGTCTAAATGCTATTGCTATTGTGTATTAGAGTTGGCTTTAAAGACCCTTATTTCTCAATGCTTAGTTGAAAAAGAAATAGGGAGGCCTACCAATCTCACACAATATTAGACAATAATAGTGGTTTCTATAGTTCTTAATAGTGATTTCTATAGTTTTTACAATACAACATGAACAGCCATTTCCCCCATTCATGAAATGGTGTTTATTTTTTGCCTATGAATTACAATAGGAACAAGATTTCATATAATGAGAGAACTTGTTCACCCTGTACTGCAAGTATCACCCAATGGAACCATGATATCCCTTCCGGATGATTCTAATCTTCCTGGGTAAGTTTTTATTGACTCCTGTTCTTTCTTTCTATTGGATAATATTTTAAACAGGATATGTGGATTAGAGACCATAAAAAAGAAAAGAAAACAGACTTCTTTCATAGAAGGAAAATTCCAACCTCCCTTCCTCCATCCCTCCCTCCCTCCCTGCCTCCCCCTTTCCTTTCCTTTCCTTTCCTTTCCTTTCCTTTCCTTTCCTTTCCTTTCCTTTCCTTTCCTTTCCTTTCCTATCCTTTCCTTTCCTTTCCTTTCCTTTCCTTTCTTTCTTTCCTTTCCTTTCCTTTCCTTTCCTTTCCTTTCCTTTCCTTTCCTTTCCTTTCCTTTCCTTTCCTTTCCTTTCCTTTCCTTTCCTTTCCTTTCCTTTCTTTCCTTCCTTTCCTTTCCTTTCCTTTCCTCTTTTTTCTTTTTTCCACTTCAGGTTAGTTAAATAGCAGTATATGTTGTCATCTTTTAAAAGTCTTTGTTGGGTAGTTTTCTTTGCCAAATGGTTTAGATTCAAGGAATAGAAAACCATCCATTTGGATGCATGTAAATCCATTAAAATATCCTAATGATTTCTGGATTTTTCTTTTCTTTTTCTGCTTTGGTGTGTTACTCTGGGTCCCTCTCCAGCCAGTCTGCAGCACCAACTGGCCCCTGGAAGTTCAATTTTACACATGTTATTTTTGTCCTTTAAATAGCAGGTTGCTTGTGGTCTTGATCAAGATCATGTTTATTACATGCTGTAGAGCTCTGTAACCCTTTCTCCACATATCCCAACTAGTAAACAAGATAGAGGAAGAATGCAGGGCATGTCTTCTGGGATTCTTTCCAATTCTTTTACCAAGCAGAGGATGTTTCTATTTTGTCTGTGTGATGAAATAATATGTTACATCTGCGTGTGCATTTTTTTCTGTTTCCCAATGACGCATTCATGTATGTGTATGTCTCATTAGAAGCACTGGAGGACTACATATACCCTACTCAGGGTCATGTAATTTGGAGGGAAGGGACTTTCGTACTAGTAGATGTATTCTAAATTATTTTCCAATTGACTCTCCCAGAAAGATGAATTGGAGGAATCTGAAGAGGATTTTCAAACCCAACCTTCTTCTGCCAGCATCTCCCCACCACGCCAAATGCAATCTTATTCTGTTTGTTCTTGGAGAGTTGTTCAGTTGACAGAGTTCTGAGCCCCTTCTTATTTCTTTAATTCCCACTTTCCGTTGGCTTGGAAAACATAGCATGTTAGCAGGAGTGGTATTCAGTGGTGGGTTCCAACCGGTGTTACTACCGGTTCTCTTTGTGCACGCGCTTTGCACGTGATCGGTTGGGTTTCTGGCCAGCTGAGGTACTGCAATCCACTCTGCCGCACCTGTCAGCTGGGCTAAAAATCAAGAAATAAAGGTAGGAATAAACCGGGGGCGGGCAGGAGGGCCCAGCTCCCAGTCACAGAGAACCAGTTCGGTGACATCACATCATCATCGTTACCGGCTCAGCCGAACCGGGCTGAACCGAGAGCAACTCATCACTGGTGGTATTCACTTACCTTCACTACCGGTTCACAAATGTGAGTGCACCTGCCACCTCCGCACATGCGCAGGGCCTTCCGTGCATGCGCAGGCATCAAAACGGGACGTGATGATGTTCAGGTGGGTGGGCGGAGCCTCCTGCAGCAGCCGCTACCGGTTCGTCCGAACCAGATAGAACCGGCTAAATACCACCACTGCGTTAGGGAAAGCCTCTGGAATTCTTTTTCACCCCTATACCAATAGTAGCCATAGGAAGTGCCTGCATATTTCTTCTGTGTAATGAAATTACATATTGCATCCATCCATACAGACTTTCTCTCCAGAGATGACTCAGGATGTGTGAATATATATTGCCTGGGTATGTTAGTGGTATCAGGGTGTATGCAGATGTGTTGTGTATGTGTGAGAGAGGGGCTAATCAGAATGGAGATATATGCGTTGCCTGTGTGGGGGTGGGGTGGGGGGGTGCACATGTGTTGCATTTGTATATTTCTATTCTCCACTCATGTACATCTACGTCTATTTGTGCCCAAGCAGGTGAACAGGGTAACCTGCTCCACTCTAAACCACATCATCTGGAAGAAGAGAGATTTATGAATCAACAAACCAAATTCTAAGCTATTGCCCACCTGCATTTGGGGAATTTAAACTGGATTTTCTTTCTCTGGATTGGGCCTATTATTAAACTCAATCTTTCTTTTGATGACTTCTCCTCTCCAGTTTTGCTTTTGTTCCATTCTGTTTCCATAAAGGTGTCCTTCTGACAGACATCAGAGTCTTTTTACATCATTTATTTCTTATCTTTCTATTGGTTCTGAAAGGGGAAAGGGGTTTTCTCTCACTCTAAACACTGCTAAACCAGAGATGGGTTTTAGCAGGTTCTGACCAGTTCTGGAGAACCAGTAGCGGAAATTTTGAGTAGTTCGGAGAACCGGTAAATACCACCTCTGACTGGCCCCGCCCCCATCTATTCTCTGCCTCCCGAGTCCCAGCTGATTGGGAGGAAATGGGGATTTTGCAGTAACTTTCCCCTGGAGTGGGAAGGGAATGGAGATTTTACAGTATCCTTCCCCTGCCATGCCCACCAACCCACACCTGCAGAACCGGTAGTAAAAAATTTTGAAACCCACCACTATGCTAAACCAGGTTATGGTGAAAAGCTAGGAGACTTGAGACTTCTTTAGTGTTTGAGCTGGCATGGTTGTTTTGGAATGCAAGGCCACTTTTCTTTGTCATCTCTTTGTGCAGAAGCCCACCAGTGTTGGGTGAGCTCTTGCCTGCTCAAGGATGGCATTACTGGGAAATCACCGTCAGTGATTGTGGAGCTTACAAGGTTGGGATCTGCTCTTCAACACTCCTAGAAAGTAGTGACCTGGGACAGAAAAGCAATTCTTGGTGCTTACATTGCTCCAGCAAAACAAGGTAATACGAAGATGCTCCTCATTGAAACTTCTCGGAATGGAATGGAATGGAATGGAATGGAATAGAATAGTATAACAGAGTTGGAAGGGACCTTGGATGTTTTTCTTCGGTAGTGGGCACAGATGGTCTTTTGAAATTAATGCCCAAATTTGGAGCAGAAAGTTGAATTTTTCCAAATTTTCCCTAGTCAGATGCATCTGTGTCTGAGAGGGAGGGGGGCATTTCAAATAAGTCAGGAAGGCAGAAATCACTGAGTGTAAAAAGTGGGAAGGCTTCAGTGTTGCTGACACAGCTCCCATCTCCTTGTTGTGGCTCCGTTGCCTGAGCCTGGGCTATCGACAGATGCAGACTCTGAGAGTGAGGGAGAGGAGTTGGCAAGGCCTCCCTCTCCAGGACCCTCCTCTCTGGCAATGCCTCTGGAGGACACCGAAGGCCAAACGATAGACTCAGAGCCAAGCACGTCCCCGCAGCCACAGGTGGACAGCGACGAAGAAGGTAAGTGCTGTCTGGACCCACGGCATAGGCACAGGGAGAAGCGTGCACAGCAGAGGGGAAGGCGTGCCAGAGATTAGTTGAGTCACTGGACCACACCCCACAGGGTATAAATGTGGGCGTGGTGGCCGGTTCAGTTTGTGACGAGCAAAAACTGGAAATAATCCATGATCTCTGCGTTACTGGACTTTGCCTGCTTTATCGGACTGCATTTGGATTAATCCTTGTATTGTTGAAACTCTGCCTGTTTTATCGGAATGCTTGCAGTCTAATCTTTGTTTTGTGTGAGTAAAGTCTGAATTGGCAGCTAGCTACTGAGTTGCTGCCAGCTTTATCTTCAAAGAGTTTTGTCGTGTGGCTTATTAACTCCGGGCCATCTGTGGGGGTGCGTGTGTGGTACGGGGACAGAACACTCCTCTGATGGACCTCCTCATCCAAATGAACGAGAGAGCGCTCCATAAAAACAAGGTAAGTTTCTTAAAAAAGAGAATTGATAGCAAAATAGCAAGTTGGAAGTAATAGTCATAGAATATTAGCGCAAATGAGAATAAAAATAATCCCCATCAGAAGCAGAGAAGATGACTTGTTTCAAAATTTCCAGGGCCGCCCTGGAAACAGCGAAGGACCAGCCCAGAGTGCCTCTGCCAGCGAAAATGGAGCTCCATTTTTACTGGCAGAGGATTATAGGAGGCCATCACAGCCAAAAATGGAGCATGCAGGGGCCATATGCAGATCTCCCAACCTCCGTTTTCACTGGCAGAGGGTTGCAGGAGGCCGTCACAGCTGAAAACGGAACCTGAGAACCCGTTTTTGCAGGCAGAGCGCTCAGGCCACCATAGGTGCCCCCAACATAAGTAATGTCAAGCTGGCCATGCCCACGCCGGCCCTCCTGATGCAACCTTCAATGAAATCGAGTTTGACACCCCTGGTGTAATAGCTCTCATGGTCAGACAATAACTCCTTATTTTGAGTTTGTGTTTGAATAAATTTACATCTGCTTCCCTATGATAGCCTTTCAAGTATTGGAAGACTGCTATCATGCTTTGCTTTTGTCTTCTCTCCTTTAGGCTAAACATATCTGATTCTTATAACCAAGTTTCATAGGATTTGACTTCCATGTGCTTCTCCATTTTTGTTGTTTTTCTCTGCACTGTTTCCACTTCCTCAGCATCCTTTTTGTATTGTGACTAAAACTATCACATCCCATAATCTTAACATTACCCCATTGTTGATATAATCCAAATTTCATCCATCGGTTGTTTCTACTAGATTATATTCTCTTTCCTGCATTAGGATTTCTTGTTTTTGCCTGTTTCCATACTTCCGTTGGCAGTTTTTCATCAACATCCCCATGCTGTTTCATTTATAACTGAAATTGAACAATTTGTAAACAAATTTGAATGCAAGCTTTCATCTCTCTCTCTCTCTCTCTACGAGAATGGGATGAACAAAATTTCACCATAAAGTCCTCTTCCTGATTTTCTGGTTGTATAATTTTCATTAACTGAAATAGGAGCAGAGCTTTGAACCCTTGCAATTTGTTGTTGTAATGAATCCTCCAACCATGAGATCCATCTGTCTTATCCTGGGGCAATTTGCTGCCTAGTTAATACATTGCTCCCACGGCTGCTTCGCTCGAGGTAATCCTGATGATATAACTGGTATTGGGAGCGAAAGAGAGACCAGTTTCCTTGGACGGAATCCAGAACTTTGCAATGCTGGATGATCGTTAGCTAGGAATAGTACTCTAGTGATATACTCTGTCTCGTTTTTCTGGCAGATAAGGTCACATTGTGGTGGTTTTCAGACTTCTCTTCTCCATATCTAATTAGTATTTTTAATTTAGCACTCATCATCCATTGAAAAGGGTGGTTAGTATCTGTAATACTGTATTTCAAAATGAGTGCTTAATGAAATGAAGTGCAGCATATATACTTCCTTAGTAATTATTTCAGCAGCCTATAAGAATGAGCATCTTGATTAATACTATGGTGATCCTTATTTCTGTGTGGAAATGCATATGTAAAGTGAGATATATGGGGATGAGTAGGTGAGACCTAGAGTATTCTCCCTCAGGCCCCATTGTTAGATTCCATACAGAAAAAATACTGGAATCTATATAGCCCATTTGTCATCCTATACTGTAGGTTAATTTAGGTTAACCGGTAGATTAACACCCCCCTCAATCTCTGCTTCCCACCCATCCATCTTCTGTTGTCATATTGATGTATTCTCATTTTCTTGTTCATTGTTTTCTTGTTCTATTATTTTACTTCTGTTTTGTTTACACTTCTTTCTATTTCTTCCTTTTTATTGTTGTAAGCCACATAAAGAAGCCCCGTGGTGTGATGAGTGCCAAATAAATTAAACAAATAACATTGTTAAACAACATCGTTAAAGAAATAACATTTATTAACAAAATAAATAAATAAATCCCCTAAACTAGTTCTAACTGTCAGATGTAAATGCCTTATTCCCTAATGTGTAAATAATGTATATATGGGATATCAGGGGTTAACTTATTCTTTGACTCTTAATGTATTCATAATTCACCACTCCCACTCTTGGCTCCACCCTTTGTATATATAAGGAGCCACCTTCACCATTTTCTTTGCTTCTATCTGTGAATATTCAGTGAATATAGAACGCCAATTATAATTAAAGAGAAATATATTTAAACCTCTAACTCTCATTATTATTATTGAGTCTGATCCTAAAAATATTGCAACACTAACATTAAAATATGCCAATGGGTTTAGGGAGCAAAATGTTACAATAATCAGCAAATGTGCCTTGCCTGTTTTCCTAAGCTTTGTGTTTCTGTGTGGAGGATAGAGTCCAGAGAAGACACAACTTCTTCTTATCTACCAATTGCTTTTGTACAGTCAGTTCTGTATCTAGAAGGAAGAGAGGCAGTGGTGGGTTGCTACCAGTTTGCTCCCGCCTGGATGCTTCTGTACATGCACAGAAGCTTCGCACGCACGAGCAAACTGGTAGCAAACTAAATTGAAACCCACTACTTAAGAGAAATATATCATCTTGCTTATAGGCAATACATGATGCAGAGCTGCCCCTCTCTTGATCTGGTATCCTTTTAATTTGTTGAGTTGCAACTCTCCTAATTCCTAGTTAGAATAAAAATTCCCCACCTGAAACCTGCCTGAGACTGCAAGTAAATGCAGAGCAATGCATTTGGAAGGACATGAAGCAGATAAATGATATATAATATCCCAAAGAGTATACAATAACTGAGAAAATAGGTATTGCTTTTCTTGACTGAAATAAATCCACAAATGATCCTGTGTATATATTCTAATTAAATTATGTTCTTATTCAGGGTTTTTCTCATTGCAAAAGAGAAATGTTGGAATGCATTGTTAAGCGATGGGATTCCAGATCCTTATTCCTAAGATCTAAAAATAGAGTAACCTATTGAGATCTCTTTCTAAACAGGTGGTGGAGTTGTGCATAGTACTTTTCAGATCTCAGAAACTTTTTTGTTGATCCAAGGAGTCGGTTACAAATTGGCCTTTGCAGTCAGGTTGGCATTAGATGAGATTTAGATAGTGTTGGACTAAACAAATTCTGTGATGGACCTTTGCCATAGATTTGTACTGATTTTATATTTTTTTGCTCTTTGCAGTTCTGCATTTAAAGTTCTGCACAATGGCGAGATGAGTGAAATTATTGTGACTGAACAGCCTGCCCGGATTGGCATCCTGCTAGACTACAACGCTGGAAGACTCCTATTTCTCAATGCAGAAAGAGGGCAGTTGCTGTCTGCTATCAAATACAAATTCACTAAAGCAGCTTATCCTGTTTTTGTACTGGAACAATCAGGGTTTCTCAACCTGCATACAGGCATGGAACTACCAGAATTTGTAAAGCAAAGCTGAACATTCTCTTCCGAATCACATACAAAAGAAAAAAAAGAAAAAGAAAAAGAAGAATTTGGTAAAAAGACTTGAGATGGATTTTTGTCTTGATATTCAATGCCCATGATTCAGAGAGACACTCAGAGTGTTTGGTGGCCTCTATAAGAAGGCTCTATAAGCCTTCTATTCAGAAATACTGCACACACAAACAAACAAACAGAAACCCAGAAATGGTGGGGAAGTTTCAAGAGCAGATCAAAGAAGCTCTCCTTAAGAGAAAAAAAAAAAAACCCTGAGAAGCTAACAGAGTACATGTAATCCACCCACAGGCCTGCAAAGTATTTGGATGGTGCCCAAATTCTTTCCCCCAGTTATTTCTATTCACTGGAATCATGTGCTCAATGCTCACAGAGAAATCCTAAATAGAATCTCACTACTTAACTATTTTTCATGCACTGTGTTGCAGGTATCAAATTACTTTCTGGAGGAAAAATGTTTATGTTACTATATTAATATTCATGATATATTAAAATAATGGATTAAATATTAAATATTAACATTAATTAATGCCCAAATATGTGATATGCTCATGCAACACCTATTGGCTGAAGGATACTAGAAGCTTCTTTTTCATTAGTTCCTTGGTTTAAGGTCCAACACAACTGGCAAGACCAAGCAAGCAAGAACAGACAGATTTCAGGAAGGTATTTTTAATGCTAATCAGAAGTAAACATGGAATTTTGGAAATGCAAATAAGAATTTTCTACCTTCATTAACAGTACATTAAAACCAGTCAAGCTTCTCTGAGAAATCTGAAATGCACCTTTTCAGATTTCTCTCCACTTGTGCGTTCTGGATTTATGTGATTTTTATTTATTCAAGACATTTGTATAGCTGCCCATGAGTGGCGTGGTTGTCTAGAGGTTGTCTCACCTCACAATCAAGAGGCTGTGAGCTGGATCCTAGGTAACGGTAGATATTTCTCTGAGTGCAATGAGTAATAGTCTTCAAACTCTGTGTAGGTGTCAGGAAGGGCATCCAGCCAATAAACGCTCAAACTCCATTCAGTTGCCTCATCTCCATTCCAATGCATATGCAAGTTTTGGTGTATTTGGGTCTTTTCCCTTGTAAGATTGAGAATATCTTGGCGACGTTTAGATGAGGTCCCACTCATCATCTTCAGGCTGGTGTCTTCGGCTTTGTGCTTGTGCAAGTAAAGCATGATCGGAGCCTCTGTCTCTCTATAAATACTGTTGGGGAGGTGTGGGGTGCTGGCTTTGTTGCTGTGAGTGGGTTGGTTGCTTGTGTTGTTACTTGATGAGTTGATGTTTGCAGATTAGTCAGCTGTTTCGTAACATCCTGTGTGGGTGAGGTCCTTGTTGTGTGCCCATTAGTCTTTTGTGTTTTAACGACCTGGGTAATGGGCTGTGTGTTAACATTCTGAGTTCCAGTGTTGTGATATCCTGAGTTTTTTGATGTAATGTCCTCAGCAGATGGCTGTGATGCCACATCCCAGGCTTTGGTTTGGCTCCGAGTTTGAGGTCTTGCCATGTGTTCATGGCGTGTGTCAGTTTGCTTTGTGTGGGGATCGGAGGGGGATGCAGCAGCTGGTGATGGTGCCATGGTCTGGCTTCTGGATGGTGGTTGTATTTCATCTATGGGATGGGTTTGAGTTTGAATCTGGTGAGGATGATTGGTGGTGGTGTCATGTGTTATCTTGGGTCCGATATTAATCTTCGTGGCTGGGACTCTTCTGTTGACTAGGGCTAGTTTCCAGATGTCCGGTAGGCAGGAGGTATCGTCACGTTTATTCATGTTTATTCATGACATGAAACAGCTGACTAATCTGCAAACATCAACTCATCAAGTAACAACACAGGCAACCAACCCGCTCACAGCAACAAAGCCAGCACCCCACACCTCCTCACCAGTATTTATAGAGAGACGACAGCTCCGATCATGCTTTCCTCACACAAGCACGAAGCCAAAGACACCAGCCTGAAGATGACGAGTGGGACCTCGTCGAAACGTCGCCAAGATACTCTCAATCTTACATGGGAAAAGACCTGAATACACCAAAACTTGCATCTATATCTATATCTATATCTATCTATCTATCTATCTATCTATCTATCTATCTATCTATCTATCTATATAATGTATGTATGTATATATATATATATATATATATATATATATATATATATATATGCCCATCTTTCAACCAACTTTGGCAGCTGCCAATCAAAAATTAGGTATCAACTCATCCATCGTCTCTTCATTGTTTATATCATGGATAGACCATCATGGAGAAAATCTGGTTGCTAAGAGTCAACAATGAATTGATCATACATCATCATTATCATCTCCATCTCCATCTCCATCTCCATCTCATCCATTCCTTCCTCAGCCTCCCCACAGTCTCTCACACTTGAAAATGAATAGCACACTTAACAAGTACCCAAGTGCAGCAGGGGTGAAATCTACTTACCTTCCTTACCGGTTCGGAAGCGCGTGCGCTGCGTCACATGCGCACGCAGAACTTCTGTGCATGCGCGAAACCTGCACATGCGCAGAAGGTAAAAAAACATTACAGGAAGTAATGACACCCGGGTGGCGATCGCTACTGGATCGCCGAACCACGGGGGAAAAAATCGCTACCGGATCAGGCGATCCGGTCTGATCCGGGAGCATTTCACCCCTGAAGTGCAGGGTTGGCTCTGCTTTGGAACAGAGTGAAGCAATTGAAGGGTAGGCAGCAGCAGTGACAACTGCTCAACCACTCCTTCCAAGCATCCTTTTCTCTGAGAAAGTACAGTTGTATGTGCCATGCAGCCTATTCTGGGCCTCCTAAACTACTTTCCAGGCATGTTTACTTGAGTTTGGCAGCTAATCTATTATACATCTGTGCTTTTTACAACATTCTTAACATATATAATTAACAAAGCAACCTTTAAAGTAAAAAACAACAATTTAGAAACCAAAAGAAAAGGGAAAAAAATCCCCTTCCAACTCTATATTTTTGCTTTTTAAATTTTTTGTAGCAAGTAAGGCTAGATTTAAATGCTTTGGGGAGAAGGCAGATGTTTCCTAGGTACAGCATAGCTTATCCTCTTTAATCCTTGGAGCCTGAGCTGGAAAAAAATAATGACTGTCTATCAAAGATAAACACTAATTTCCACTGTCAAATAAGAGCAGAACCAGAATTCCACTCCTTTAAATGGTACTGATATCCAAATCATGTCTACTGGTTTTTGTCCCAGGGAAGAAGAAGGAAAAAAAAGATTGGCTCAATGCCAGCTTCACACCCTGGGGTATGAATGATGTTCTTGCAAATGTAGAGACCAGAGCTTTTCATTTTCTTTACAGCAACCCTTCCTCGACTCCTGCAATTCTTGACAGGCCCCTGCAGCTGCTATTTAAAATGGAAACAAAAATGGGCACATTAAATATACTCATGCTTTTTATATAACACCATTTGGCCCTGCTCAGAGCTTTGGGATTTGGAGCAGAAGATTTTGAAACTTTAAATCCTAAATGGGTCCCTAACTCCCTCTCTCTCCCTCTCTCTCTCTCTCACACACACACACCCCACAACACACACACACACACACCCCACAACACACACACACATCCCACAACATACACACACACACTCACGTCAACCATTGACTAAGGCTTTTCAGTGCTGATAAAGAGCTGTCTTCTGTTTCTATGTTTCAAATTCGCATTTTCAAAAAGCTGCCAAAACAACAGGAGATAGGATGGTGGTGAGCTTAAAAAAACACAGGCAGGCTTTCAATTGGACCCCCATGGCCATCTTGAATTTTTGAAATATACCACGGGGCCATCCCTCCTCGACTATTTTTATTTCTTCTCCATCTATCCTTTGCAAAATGTTCAGGAGTCAAATAAGACAAATGCAGATAATGGTGGCTTCTAGAAAACTGTTTGCAATTAATTGGGGAAAGCCTACGAAGCAGGGCTGCATTTCTTTAATGAAGTGTATCGATTTTATGTTAAAGAGGCTGCGAAAATCTTTGTCAGTTTAAAAGTAAGCCTATCCCTCAGCGACTAAGCTAAGAATTTATTGCAATTTTTTTAAAAAAGAAAAGAAGGGGGGGGGGAAGCAGAATAATGTGATTCAGCTGTTATGTAAACTTCAAAGTCTCCTGCCAGCAGTGCCAGTATGATGCCCAATAATACCAATGTTTCTCCAGATACTTCCTTTGCAGTTGTCATTTAGTTACCACAACCGGGTCCAGCAACTCGCTCATTAAGTGAAGTCACTTAAAAAAAAACACCCCACAACTGTGCTTATGATCTTACTTCGGCTTTCCTTTGCTTTACAGACCTATGAAAGTTGTGAATGTGACGATTGGTCATAAAAATTGCACTTTCATCACTGTTGTAACTATGAATTCTCATTAAACAAGGACTGCCTGTATTGTAGGAAGCAAAGAATAAGCTTCAGGTATCGTGTTATATACATCGGTGTTTCTCAAACTTTCTGCAGTTGGTGGAGTAGCTTAAGGCACCAGGCTAGAAACTAGGAGATGGTGAGTTCTAGTCCTATCTTAGACACAAAGCCAGCTGGGCGATCTTGGGCCAGTTGCTATCTCTCAGCCTGAAGAAGAAGGCAGTGGCAAACCCTTTCTGAAAATCTTGCCACAAAAACTGCAAGGACTAGTCCCGGTATTGCCTGGAGTCAACACTGATTTGAAGAGACAAACACCCAGACAAAAAGTTCAGAAATCCTGATCAAACTCCCTACAATTTCATTTTTCAAACCCTGGAAGTTTGTTTTTCAGCAAATCACACATGCTTTCCTATCGCCTCCCTTTTTAAAGTCCTCTTTGAAATTAAACTTTCAACCTCTTTGCTCCAACATTAAATATTTATTTACTACTTAAATTGTTTTATATAATCTATACCATGTAATAACAATAACTCATTGGTCAAAGAAGCTGGAAAGGTGGGAACAAAAGGTTCTCAAGCTTGACAGAACCACAATCTTAAGACTGAGCAGATGTTTTGCAAACTTAAGGCTGAGAAGAGAGTAATAATATCTATTACTTTGAAAATCCCAACCCTATAATTTAAATCCAGACTTGGGGAGGGGGAGAGAGAGAAAGAGAGAGAGAGAGAGAGAGAGAGAGATCTTCTATGCCACAGGGCTTCTACCTTGTCTGCAATAAAACAACATTTAGCTGGATTGTGTTTATATATTTCAGCTGTAAGCATATTTCTGGATATGAGATTAAGTATTTGAAGACAATAGATATAATGGCATGATATCTGATTGCAAGATCTGCCTTTTTCTACCTAAAATTCAGAGTTAAACAATAGCTACAGCTCCTCTTGCCAACTTGCTAATATTCAGGTCACCAGTGCCTTACTCAAACATCAAAAGCAAGTTGCAACCCATGATAATCAGCTAATTTGACAAGTGGGGCAGAATCAGCCACATGTGTGGCGTCCATACTAATCTCAACCGAAGATCTGGCAGCCACTGCTTGAACACTTGTAGCAAGTACAGTCCCCCAAGGACATGCCAAAAACAATGAGAATCCAGCAAAGTCATTACCTTCCTCAAGCAATATTAATCATACAGATGCCTCAGATGTAACATTTTCTTACAAACTGAACTTGAATAGGATTTATAAATGTCCTAACAAGTAAGAGAGGTGCAAAATGGGCAACCCATCTTTTGAAGCACAATAGTTTTCAGACAATTTTCTGAAAATCCTGGGGTCTATCTTCCAACAATCCAGTTAGAACGAAAGATCACCAACCCAAAAATCCATCATCACTGACAGGGTAAGCACTTAGTACAAGAGTAATACCACTGATATGGAACCATTTGCACAGAATGTGGGCTGGAATGAAAAAGGTTTGATTGGGCAATTTAAAATGGGAATGTCTAACATGAAATGAACTCATTTGTCAGGATATCCCAACAACTTTGTGATTCCAAACTCTACGTGATTCCAAGATCGCTAGATAGAAAATCAGGAAATTATGGCAGGGGACAAGTGGGAAGGGAAGACGCCATTATTTTTT